ACCAATACCGTGAGACCCCTTGTAAGATCTTCTGACATGACGGCGACCGCGAAGGACAGCACCAGCACAATTGGAGTATAGAGCTCGGCAAAACGGTTTACCAGCTCTTCCATGTCCGAGCGAGAGCTCCGGGCATCTTGAACGGCTGCCTTCATACGACCCTGGAAGGATTCTGCTGCAGTGGTCGTGCACTCCATCTCTGCGACACCAGAAGCGACGACGGTCCCAGAGAGAACTGTCGATCCAACAGACTTCTCAGCTGGTAACGCTTCACCAGTCACTGCAGACTCGTTGACCATGAAGGTTTCGGCACGGACAAGGCGGCCATCGGTCGGCACAACACTGCCACTCTTTAGCAGGACGATATCTCCGGGTAGCAACTCTTCGATTTTTACGGAGGCTCCCCCAGTGCGTGGCCCACCTGCTTTGGAAAGGAGGGTGGCGTGGGTGGAAGCGCCGACCATGCTTTTGTCCAGCTCGCTCTCTACAGCCTGCTGTGATCGTCCGACGATCCACTCCGAAACGTTCACCAAGAAAGCTACCGTGGCAGCTTCGGTAAACTGATGGAGGTAGAGCGCGCCGAGGAGGACGATGAACATCAGAACGTGCATGGAGATGCGTCGCACGAGAATGGTCTGACCTTGTTTGCACACATGACTCGACAGCTCGACCGGCTTGTCGTTTCAGTGCATGCAACTTCCTATCCTGAATCTCGGAAAGTCTCAGAATCCTGCAAGCTCGTCGAAGAAAGCCGTGGGCAAGCAGCACAACCACCTGGACCGGCACCCGACGGCTTCGAGACACTTTCCTGGTTTTGGAGTTTTGATGAGTTTTGTGGGATTCTCAGCCACGTGGCGAGCGCCAGCACAGGACTCTGGGGACCAGGAAGGAAGGAACCAAAAAAGGCGACACCTGGGCAAGGACGGCCCCCGGCTCCTAGTGCATCTGACAACACTTTCCGACATTGCCCCGCGCCTTGCACCAACAGCAGCCAACGTGACGCTTGACCTTCGCTAAGAGACGTCCCATATCCTAGCAATTGAGGACTCCGTGTGCGTTGAAAAAGAGCCACGCTTGCAAGCCAAAGATCTGTCTGGATCCTGCAAGGACTGCAGGAGACCCCACAGGCCGCGCTTCTGGGTGCCATCGACTTGGACACCACCAGACTGGACGATGCCTGGACCGGGCAGTTCAGTGCACCAGTGACCATGCCGCACCCTCAGAACCGAAGTCCCAGACTCCTTGGAACATCCCTGAACTTTAGAACCGACGTCCCGGACTCCTTGGTATTCCTTGGTACATCCCTGAACTTTAGAACCGAAGTCCCAGACTCCTTGGAACATTCCTGAACTTTAGAACCGAAGTCCCAGACTCCTTGGAACATTCCTGAACTTTAGAACCGAAGTCCCAGACTCCTTGGAACATTCCTGAACTTTAGAACCGAAGTCCCAGACTCCTTGGAACATTCCTGAACTTTAGAACCGAAGTCCCGGACTCCTTGGATTGATTGATTGATTGATGGACTCCTTGGAACATCCCTGAACTTTAGAACCGAAGTCCCAGACTCCTTGGAACATCCCTGAACTTTAGAACCGAAGTCCCAGAATCCTTGGAACATCCCTGAACTTTTTTCAACCGAAGTCCCAGACTCCTCATGCTTCGCACGAGCAAAGAAGAACATTCTCCCCTCTACTCCACGTCCACGGCAAAAGAAGCCCAAATCGGTGCAGTGTAACGCCGTGTGCTGTGGCTCCCAGCCTAGTTTTTTGGACCATTGTGTCCAAGGAGCGGGCACCCAACATCAAACGGTTCATGGCTGCCACCAGACCTCATAGTCATGTGCACATCTGTCTGCACAAGCACATTGCACAGATGATTGGTGGACTTAGTTTGGCCAACGCACACAAAACAAGGCGAATAAATCGGAAGCAGCCTCTGCGAAATTCCGAACAAAACTGATGGGCTTGTGGCAGGAATGAAAAATGATGCCGAGTGGAGTTAAAAAGGGGTGAATGGCTCAATGTGGCATGACCCACACACTGGCCACACCTTGGCTACACCCTGGCTACACCCTGTTTTTTACACCTTGGGTCAGACAAGGGTCTGTCAGGCGTCACCTTTGACAGGTGGGTCACCACAGCGGTCTTTGTTCCAGCGTTTGCTTTCACAGCTGCCTTGCTGATTCCAAGGCTTGCTACAGCTTTTTCAATCAGGCGAATCTCCTTAGGTGAGCCACGGCAGATGCAATACAGCCCTCATGGGACCCAGGCAGAGAGGTAACCTTCTCGAAAACGCACAACCTTGTCAGTGCTGCCTGGCATCCGAATTTCAGCAGAGGTTGTCCACCTGATGCAAAATCCCTGCACACTCGGTCATACCCATGGGGTTTTGCAGCGGAGGTATTGAAAGGAAGTCACGCGCCAGCACACCCTCGTCCAGCCAAGGCACTCCGAGAACGGTAACCTCGAAGCGGCAACAAGGGCGATCGCACTTTCCCTGGGCGGAATGTGCCACATCACGGCAGTCCTCTCTCGTGGCCAAAGGGAGTCACGCAACAGAAACCGAATCGACAACTGCATGGCAGTCACTCTGCAACATAACACACATCTGGTCACTGCACAGTCTGCCATAGACGAGAGAGGGTGTCAGGTATTCGCATGCGTGTCTGCATCCCACACACACAGACTGAGACAGGCCTCACAGTGAAAGCAGATCGAATGGTCACAAACCTTGCCGAGAGCAACTTGGCCGCTTGCCCTGTGAAATCCAAGGCAAATCCCAAGCCTTGCAGACGCCCGAGGCCAATGTTGGGTCATCAGCGTTCAGGATGCACTTGTCGGGACAGTCTTCCCTGGCGGTGTGCTCGCCCCATAAGCTCCAAAATATCCTAGATGAACAACCGCTCCGATTCGACAACGAAGATCCCAAAGGCAAGACACACAGTGGCCTTGTGCAGGGCATCCTGCTCAATCCGCCAAGTGCCAAGTGCTCCACACTTCTACTTTGGCAAGGAGGCTTGAGCCAAGCGGCGTCCACCCCTCAAGGTGAGGAAGCTGTAAAAACTCTGACGGCGTGCAAGGGATTGCAAGCAGATCACACGATACTTACATGGTCCCGTGAACTGCTTGAGAGTTTCTTGTGGACTTGAAGGGAGCAGCCCAAGGCGCACCCTGCATGGTCATTGGCCGGTCAGACACCTTGACCTCCGTCATTGCACCAACACCTCATGTGCTGGTGGGCCAAGGTCTGAGTGCACTTCTTTGGGACAGCTCTAGGCTCGAGATCTGGGCCCTCGGCCCAAGACGGGCTGCGCGGCCGTGCCCTGACGTGTTCGGGAAGCGCTCATTCCTTGGCACAGAGGGCCACCCCTTTACAATCCTTACAGGCGATATCGAAGTCCGCTGCAGGAATGACTCGGTTAGGGTGCAGACGCCCGCCCTGAGCTGTTGGTACCTGCAACCGTTCAAATTAGTGTTAAGGTTGTCTCTGCCGCCTAGACCGCCCACTGATTACACCTCTCGCGAAGTGCGACTCTCAAACTGGAGACTGAGAGAGTTGCTCGGCCAGTTTGGCCCATGGGGTTCTGCGTCCTGGTGCAGGAAGTGTCCCTGCTTCTGCTAGGACTCCCAGGAAATGCGCGCAACGGACAGCTCCACTGGGCTCCCTGCCCTCCCATCTGCGTGCCTGGCCGCATGGTGGCCTTTCGAAGGCAAAAAACGGGCGGGAAGCCATTTTTGCAGTCCGTTCCAAAACAACCCCAAAGCCCCCAAGATCCGGCACAACATGGCACAACCCTAAAATCTCAGCATGCACCCCTAATGCACTGCATCCTCAACCCTAGCCCAAAAGCCCCGCCCACCCAACAAAAAAACAATTATCTATATCTGTATACACCCACAGACACAGACACACACACAGACACAGACACAGACACAGACACAGACACAGACACAGACACAGACACAGACACAGACACAGACACAGACACTGACACTGACACTGACACTGACACTGACACTGACACAGACACACACACACACACACACACACACACACACACACACACACACACACACACACACACACACACACACACACACACACACACACACACACACACACACACACACACACACACACACACACACACACACACATATAGAGTGGCGCGCCAACACCTCCCCGACCCCCCATTCCCCCCATTCCGCCCTAAACCTTAACCCCCGCCTGGACCGGGCCAAGGCCACCTGTGCTCATCCCCGGAGCGGCCCTGGCGAGCCCAGGGACTTCGATTCGATGGGCCCAGTGGCTTCAGAGGCTCCAGGGTTTCAGGATCTAGCAGCTCAGACCCTCAGAAGCATAAACCTTCTCAAGTCCATGATCACAGATGAAGGGCATCATCACGGTGCTTCATGTGAGGAGGTTTGGCTGCCACTTCACGCTTTGGCGTTGAGGGTTTCACAGGGGTCGATCGTTGATCGCTGTCTAGGTGAGTTGGGATTCCTGACACAAACTTTGCACCAGGTTTGGGCCAAGGCCGTCCAAGGCCCCAACACCGGGCCCATCCCGCGGCTTTGCGGTCTTCCAGGTGAAGCCATGACTGAGACATGCTGAGGCTGCCGAGATCATGCACAACACGCTCGTCTAGATTGCATGTCCCTTTGTTTATCCGGGAGTCCTGAGTAGTCCCGAACACCCCCCCCCCCCCCCGCTGTGCCATGACTCTGACATAGTAGCAGCATAGTCGCGTGGTCAGCACATGGAGTGACCTACTTCCGAACCATCTGTCACCCACGGGAATGCGGCCAAGGCTCTTGGGCTCGCTCCCAGAACGCGTGGAGGGAGGGGAAACTCTTCGTCTAGGCTTTGAGCCAGCAAGGCATGGAGGACGTCGAGCCGGACTTCTAGGTCACCACAGCATTTGCCGGCACCGCATTGCATTCTTGCAGTCAGACTTCGGGATCGGGGGAGGGGAGATACGGACTGTGGCCGTGACTGGCCTGCTGCACGGCCTCGTGGTCACGCTCGAGCGCTGCCAGGAGGTCCTCGCAAGCGAGCAAAGTGGGCATTGACGTGTTTATTGCCACCTGGGCTGTCATGTGACCCGTGCTTTCACCCTTTTTTGAGATCCGTCCTCGATGCGCCTGCTGTCCTCCAGGACCTTCAAAGCTTCGGCCGCCGCAACCTGACGAGCTTGCTTCACGCGGCACAACATGGCACAGCGTGGCACAGCGTGGCACAGTGTGGCCTATGGCACGTGACACAACCTGTGTCGCTCTGAGCCTCTCCGTCCGGGCTGTGGAGGTAGCTCATGATGCACAGGAACCTGTCCCCACACCAGGTCCCAAGTGTCTGCAAGTGACTGCACGCTCAGTGTGGGGCCTGGCGAAATCCAGAAACTCGTCATGCCGGAGAACTCCATCGCCATGCAGGTCAAAGATGGAAGTGAAGGCTTCACACCTGGGCAGAAGCCCTCCATGTCTGGACGAAAGAATATTCATCAAGATACTTCCTCTGAACCAGGCATGACGAGATTCCATGGAAAAAAACAACAACTCATGCTCCAGTCAGACAATCGCTCGGCTTCCCCTGGTCTTCACATTTTGATGCTCGGGATCCCCGCTGCTGCGGCGTAACAGCAAAAGGCTGTGAAGAAGAGAGCGAGACGATGATGTCGAACAGCCTAGCAAGAAAAGCGGGCCAAAGCATCGTACAGAAGTCCACTCGGCCCACAGTATCTTCCGGACATTTTTTCTAGTGAATGCTTCATCCAAAACTTAGCATCGCGCTCCGAGGGCTCCAACACCCCACTTCCATCCTCGGCGAGTCTGCAAGGAGATTCAGCGAGTCAAAACAAGAACCCTGCCTTGTCAAGGGCTTTGAACTGCTCGGAGAACTGCGTGACCTAGCATGGCTCAGAAAGATCAAAGAAGCCAACCCGGGTAGATGTGCGTTACTTGGATACTCTGCCATGTTCTTTGCTGCTTGGAGTAAATCCTTCCTGGTCGTCTCGCCCATTTTCCCCTGCCTTGTCCTGCCCTTCTGTTGCTGGTTCCGCTCCCCTTCCATGTTTGCTGCTGCTCTAGTGTGTCCCCCCCTAGCATCCCCTTGCTCCTCCCTCTCAGCTCGTGTTTGCTGACCCCCTCTGTCGCCGGTCTCGCGGTGGGTCAGGGCACTCGCCGGCGGCCCCCCTTTGTTTGCTCTCCGCATTGCGCATTCTCTGTTTGCCCCGCCCCATGTTTATTTCTCACCTCTTCTATCCATGGCCCAGCTCCCTCCTGGTCGGATAACTGCTCTTCTGCAACACAGCAAGGGACGCCCTCTCTTCCACTCATCGTCCGCCACTGTTTCTGAAAGCATGCCAGGGCGTCAAATTTCTGGCTCACCAGCTCACTGTAGATGGCCTCGCTTCGTGTTGTGGCATGTTGTGGCTTTCTTTAACCTGGTCCTGGCCCTCTGAGACTCTGGGGCTGGGGCTTCTGGCAGCAGCGGCATGACCTGCTCGATTCTGCGGCTCTGGAAGTGAAAAAGAAGTCTGGATCCCGAGCACGGCCTTCACGATGGCATCGCGATCCTTCTGGAGTTGATGCAAGAGGCGATCAACTGCGCGACTGCTCTTCTCCACCTGTGGATGTGCAGGCAGTCAGGGTCTGGCTGAACGCAACAAACTGACCGAGTCCTTCTGCTTCCTGGCCTCTACCTCCATCTTCGCCTGCTGGCCTTCTGGAGTTTCCATGAAGGACCTGTGAGGGCATGGAGTCCCAATGGCGATGTGGATACGCGCACCGTTTCTCAAGTAAGGTCCCCACATGATCATCATGTACCGCACCTGTTAACAGCAAAGAAGCACTGTGGCAGCTGTTTGAGTGTGGGTTGCTGCTTGTCGCCTTGTAAACAAAGCCTTTCACGTAAAGCTGTAACGCATGGTGTATTGGGGCTCTCGCAAAGTTCACAAACTCGTGCTTGGCAATGACCTGTGCCGACACTCGGGTCAGAGCAGGACTGCTTTAAATCAGCAATGTGGGCAATACGAGGATGATCCGACCCTAAGCTCTCGATAAAACAAAAAGTCTCTTGGCTCAGCATTGCTGCCTGCCACTAGGAGAATGAAAGTGCAGCCTTTGCCATGCAAGCTACGCACGCGTTGTAAGCATGTTCCAAGAAGATCATGCCTTTGCATGATTCCGTTCGAGGACATGCACTTAACTACGGCAACTGCGGCGGGGAACTCGCCGAACGGTACTCATGACTCATGCAAAGAGCAACTGCGCAGGCAACTGAACACTTCAAGAAACATTCAGCAATGCCTCGGCTAGCGCTTCTCTGTTCGCATGGCAGTTGCCCGAGATTTCAGATCATCAATCGCAGTTCATGGAATGTAAAGCGCGCACGCCTACTCCCCTAATGGTACAGCCAAGTAACACCCGAAGCAGGCCCACTACGAGACGAGCTACCGTGAGAGAGAGGCTGGGGCTGGGGCTGGGGCTGGGGCTGGGGCTGGGAGAGAGAGACAGAGGAGAGAGAGAGGGAGAGAGAGAGAGAGAGCGCGACAGCGAGAGCGAGAGAGAGGGCGAGAGAAAGCCGGAACTTCTTGCGCATTGTGAGCCTAGCATGACCCACGTTAACGGAGAAGGCCTTGGTTAATAGCAGTCTCAGTTCACAGCTGGGGCTTCCACGCCATTCCTGTCGATGTCAAAGAGGTCGACAAACTTCTTGCAGTGCTCTTCCGTGAGAACGAAGGCATGCGCCTAGCAGGCCGGGCTGAGGCTGGAATCCTTGCTTAGAATCCATAGAATACTGACATGGAACTAAGTACTTGCATGTACACCTGTACTGCTACTCAAGCACTCAAGCACGGAGAGGCCGAAAAGGGGCACCTGAGTCAGTTCCTGGACAACGGGCAAGAGCTCCGCAGGCTCCAGGGTGCCGTTCCCGTCCTCCCAAAATTGCGATTTCCAATTCTGCGATGTTTTTTGCGTCTTCTGCGTGCTTTGCAGCCAGCTTCCCCGAACCCCAGTTAGCCACCGAAAAACCACAGGGTCAGGAAGCTGCCGAGCATGTTGCCAGGCCTTGTCCAGCTGCGCAAAGAATTCGTCACAGGACTGCTCGAACTCTGCGCTCGAAAGCTCGTCGATGAGGGACTGGGAAAGCGGAAAGCAGACGGTATCACCAGCGCTCATGGAACTGGAAACACTGAGCAAGGCTGGTCAAACCTGGCCTGCGGCAGGAAGGGCAGCACATCCCACACCATCTCAGAGCCTGAGCGGACTGCGGCTCGAACGGCATTTCGCATGATTTGGGGATGTCTGGCACAGTTCTTGTTTTGTTCAGTGCCTGGCCCTGTCTGAGCGACTGCAAGACAGACTCCATCTTCTCTTGGCCAAGCATCACGTCGGCCATGAGGGCATCCTTGTGAGCTTCCGACGTCTTCCAACAAGCAGAAAAAGTCGTGGTGTTCAGAAGTTCCGTCCTGATTTTCCACGAGGTACGTGAGGTAACCCATGACGATGCAATAGCGCGCCAAGAGCAGGAACTCTGCAGGCCTAGGAGCGGGCGAGTCTTCTCTAAAGAAATCCACTGACTAAACTGAACTTATCCCTCTATTCGGGCAGATGGCGTCACCGAATTCTTCAGCTCCCGATCCTTGGATCTGCATCACACGAAGCTGGACTACGCACCCGACTTATCACAGCCACGGCACCCATCTACTCATGTAGTGGTTGCACTGCTCCTCACTGATGCGGAAAGGATGCACCTCGAGGATTCGGCATCGTCTGCTTTCCGCTTTCTGGCATCGCATCTGGCCTGGATGAGCTGGTTGATGACCTCGAAGAAACAAGAGGCGTCGGTTTCTTTTTGCGACTCAGCAAGACTCAACACGGGCCTTGGAGTAAAAACCACCCACTTCAACGGGAAGCTTCTTCTTCTGAGGCCCCGAGGACGCTGCTGGCACCAGCATGCCGGGAGGCACCGTGCTGCCGGCGTCGCAGTCCTCGCCAGCGGCAGCCTCTCCAATACAAGCTCAAAAACCCCCCCCCCCCCCGTTCAAGAAGGTTGTCCCGTCTTTTTTCTGTCGGATTGCAGAAGGAAGCAAGCTGAAGCTGAGCCTTGAAGCCATCCATGCAAGCCTGACCAAGACTACGGCACTAGGGCACTTGGGCATACCTTTTCTCGAAGAATGGCAGCTTTTTGCCTTCTGAAAGTCGAGGCTGGTGATTTCCTCAGCTCAGGAAAAGCAGGAACAGCCCAGGCGGCCAAGAACTGACTACAACTGAGCCCGCAACCCAGTAGAGAGGCTTTGGGAGCTTTTGCAAGACGTCGTTCAAGCGTTCGGGGTCCTATCCCATGAAGTGGCATCGCGTGGCCATACTTGGACATTTCAATCCCAGCGACATCCCTGTGTATGACGAACTCGGGGTTTGAGTTTGGCCCTGAAGCGGATCGAGAATCGATTGACCAACAGCTTTCGGCTTCCTCACCTCTTTTTCAGTTTCCCTCTCCAAACTCTCATCACTGCGACAAGACCTTTCCGCTCTGACCACAGAGAAGACAAGCCCTGTAGCGAAGAGACATGACCACCCGAGACCTCCCGTAGGCCTGTACTGAATGACTGACTAGGTTCTAGGGCATCATGGCCAGGAAGAGCGGGCAACAAGAAGAGCGAGAAACATGCGGAGCCAGCATTTGCACAAGAATCACCCGAGTGCTGCAGGCTGCGGCTGAAGAAAGGGAAGCGCATGGACCGCATGGACTTATGAGATCTTATCAGGCACACCAAGCGACTCGCCTCCTCGAGCATCTGCAGCATGATCTGGTTTGTGTCAGCACCCTGCACCACGTTGGAGGCCTTTTTCGACACCTGACGCAACAGCACATGTCAAGAGCACATCCGAACAAACGCTCTGTCTTCCGTTCTGGGAGCCCCCGCATCCAGTCCTTCCTCCGTGTTCGTAAGGAAGTTCATGACTGCCGGGCAGCTGCTGTTACACTGAAAACCAAAACCGGCAGAACCCCAGCCAGCAAATTACGCACACATCCCCATGTGAGATTTCTCGAGGGGTCAAGTTCCAAACTAGCCTGAATGCAGTAAAAAGCTCATCTCATACCTCTACAACATCCGTGACAAAGGCTGTCAGACCGGGCGATCGACGGGTTGTCAAGCGACCAAAAGTTCAAGCGGCTCACAAGCTTCAGCACTGGCACCAGAGGTCCCCCGAGGCAACCAAGGCAGTTGGCAGAACGTGGTTGTTTCTTGGCACGCCCTAGCGACGCCTGAGCGTGAAGCTTTGAAACAGGCCGCTCCTTCCTGTCCTCATGTACTCTCTCTTGCTTTAGAAGATGAGGCACGCATGCTCGCAGCCGCAGGGATTCGGAAGACATGCTAGGATACACCTACAGAGTTACGAACATGCCCTTGACTGAGCACAAGGTCAAGCCAAGCAATATGGTAGCCAATGTTCGTGATTTGAATGCGTGCTCGGACTGTAGCACTCATCACAGAAGAATCTGAGTTCAAATTATCTGATTTTCATAGGTTTCTTTCTTAAGCTCGTCGTACCCGCAGAGAATGTTAAACTCACCTTCGCCTCGGCTTCCTGCCGAGAAGCGTTTGGAACAAGCAGACCCGGATCCGGTCTCCTTCCCCCTGACCCAACCGTGCAAAATTTTGTGACGCACTGCTCCCCTCCCTGGGCCCCCCCTGAAACTCCCCCTGGGAATGTACTGGGACCCCCCGCAACCCTGAGACCCCCCCTGCCCCCTTGCTGGGACCTGGCTGGGTGAGACCTTCCATGGGACCTGCGACCTGGATTCCAGGTTGCTCCCATGCCCCATGCAATGTGGGAGACAACGAAGACCGCGGCATGAGATCGACAGTTTGAAGCACATACTTACCAAAGAGCGTAGAGATTTTAAGGAGGTATCTCAAGCATCTCCAAGCACATCCGCATAAGGAGCATGGTTCCGGGAGCCCACCGCCTTTGCAAAAAGGTGGGTGCGGGCTTCAGGTGCCTGAGGTCATCTGTGGACGGCTGGCTTGAGCAGACATCCACGTATATTCGGGCGCTCGAAGACCACTCCCAGATGAACCGCGCACGCCGAGACCCCCAGATCACTCCAAAAACTAAGGGAGAATTCTGCACGTCGCTTCAACAGCATGCATGCGCGCGGGACCTACGCAGGAGGGCGTCATTTCTTGAAATGCAACCCCCCCTGAACGTTGGGAGCGAGAACCGATCCAAGAGCCCAGAAACAGGAGAAAACCCGCGCATCCCTTGCACGGAGCGATGCAAGCACACAAATTGCAGACGGGACGGAGCGGCGGGTGCGCGATAAGTCTCGCGTGCGCGTCGCGTGCACCACCTCAGAACCCCTTTGCTCCGCTGCTGGCGAACATTCCAGAAACCGAGTCTCGGGGCGCCTGTCAGGAATTGAGCAAACTCAATGAACTCATCCCGCCTGGGCAGAATGACTCAGAAAGACCCACTCTGTCAAGATCCTTGCGGTCCACTGCATGACAATATTAGGCTGCAAACCGGATCACCCCATTGCCATCTGTGTCAAAGAGCGACGTGAACCTTGCAAAGGGCCGGCAGCTGGCTTTGCACATCTGATGCCTTTGAGCATGAAGGTCCCGGCCTTTGGCACCGCTCCTCTGTGATGGTTACTCCGTGTTCCTCGCAAGACATCGATGCCTCCCTCCGTATCATACTCTCTTACAGGGTCTTTTGCAGAGGTCTTGCCTCCGTCTGGCAGATGGCTTGAATGATGGGGATCAGCTCCATGGGCTCGAGGCTGCCGCTACCATCCGCGTCCAGACCATCGAACTGCTCGTGACAGGCCTTCGACTTTAATACCAGTACTTAAAGGAGGGCTTTGGCATGCTCTCTCGAATCTAAGTCGAATTTTGTGCCTCCTCAAACTCCTTGCCCGTGAGGTGGTTCACGAGCCATTCTGGGAGAAAGGGGATGATGCTCCAGAGCCGCTCCTCTGTGGTATGTCACTGTGGCTTCAGCCAACAATTGGAAGCTTTGAGTCGTGTCCTTGTCTGCCTCGATCATCCTTATCAAGTCCTGGCATTCTCGCTGCACCTACACCGCTACCGTCCGGCTCTTTTCATGAAAGAGGCATCAACTGCTAGGTGACCTGGAAGGAGCGGTCTGCGACCTCTGCCTGTCATGATGCAAGAACCTCCCTCAAGCGACCAATTCGGACGGCAATTTTGCAGCCAACATCAAGGCAACACGCGGCGGCCTGTTGGACAATGTCCTTTCCTTCCTGCCAAAAAACCAAGCACATCCCCTTCTCTAGCAGGCGAACGGCCGCACTCACATCGCCTCACTCTCCAACCACCCGGCAACAGTGACAAATTGAACCATTTGTGTAAACTCCGTGATGTTGATCAGCCCATCCTGCCGATGGGGACACAGGTCTGTGGCTGACGAGACAAATAGTCTTCCAAAAACGGTCTGGGCTAACTGAGAAGGGGCAACAGGCATTGTCAACTATTTCTGGAGATAGCCACGGCATGCAGGCAAGCACGGCGGAGTAAACAACGGGCTGCCACAGTCAAACTCAGCTCCTGATTGGAGTCAAACATGTCCGCAAATTTCCTGCCCAACAGCAGTCTTGAGGGACATCATCATGGCAGGAAAGGCATGGAAAAGGTCGACGTCTCATCTGACGCAACGTATATGGCCAGAGGTCCTGCATTGCTCCGCCGATATGGAATCTTTTTGCGCGCGACTTAGATCCACCTGACAGGGATGTGTAAGTCTCTATGAAACACCGACACGGTGGGATCTTCGGGTGGGGCACGATGACCGGAATCAGGTCATCGGACGTCAACTCACCTGGAGACGTCGAGCGAAGAAAGAAAGAAAAGGAAGAAAATGGAAGAAAGACGAAAGAAGGAAGACGGAGCCACAGAGCGCCCCGGGGCTCCCAGCCGCGGTCTTCCACGTCCAAGGCTTTGAACTTCTCCTCGCACCTGCAGCACACACACACACACACTCCTTCACACGCGGAGTAAAGGGAACAACTGAAGACTTGGTGAAGATGAGATTTGATGGGGAAGACAAGTCGAAACTCACCTAGGTCAAGATCCTGCTAAGAATGGACGTCATCCATACACAGACTGCCGCACGAAAGGTTGATGCGATCAAGAAACGGAAATATCGCATAAGAACACCTGGATGATCAGTCCAGGCCTCCCTCTTTGGCACCCAGCTTCGTTGGACAGGGTGTAAATACCAGAGAGCCCTGTTGCCGACTAGCGACTAGCAATCACTGACCCAGAAAATTGGTGTCGCATGTCCAGGCGCAAGGATTTGCGCTGACCATACACTAGATCGGCGCTGCCGCATGCGCAACACTTTTTTGCACGAAGTCTGCGCTTGCATGGTGTTACTTCTGCGCAACTCGAACTGGTCAGTCTGCCAAAACCCTTCGCTCGGAACTAGGGTTTACACACCCACGCGCCCACCCACCCACCCACCCACCCACCCACCCACCCACCCACCCACCCACCCACCCACCCACCCACCCACGCACGCACGCACGCACGCACGCACGCACGCACGCACGCATTGCGGGGCACATATTGTGCGGCACACTGTCAGCACCTTTTGGCTTGCAGCTCCGGCCGCCATGCAAAGGCTGCCAGAGGCCCTGGTGCTAGGCCCCGCACAAGGTGGAAAACTCCGGGCTCGCAAGGCTGTCTCGCAGCTGTTCGGGAATGAATGGCAGCACCTGAACTGAAGCGAAGCAGGGGGTTTAGGGTTTAGGGTCGCAAAATGGGGCCCGCACCAACTCCAGGTTGTTGCTGGCAGCTTCCAAGGTGAGCAGCAGAGTCTCCACCTTCCAGCGCTGAGCTCGAGCTACTCTGGCAGTCTTGGGCAAGGTGTGCCTATGGCAAGCCCTGTACCCTGACATCCCTGACGCCTTGGAGCAACCTGCTCCGGCCCCTTTGGGCTGCAGCCTCATGTGCTCCCGAACCTGAGATCAAGTGAGGTCGCCTGTTGCAAGGCTCCTTCAGGCATCTGGGCATCTCTCAGCAGCCTGCACCTCTATGTGAAGCACAGCATATGGCGCAGCACAGAGCCCCATTGGTGTCGTGAATACTCGTGTCTTCATGTCTTCCTTGCTCTTGGGATTGTTGGGGGCATTCTATGCAATGCCGTCGATGCCATTCACGACCAACGAAGACTACAGTGACTGCATTCTGGCTACAATATAGTCACTAACATCTTTCTGAGGTGTAAAAAGAACACACACACACACACACACACACACACAAAATCAACGCGATCCGCCCATATCCGCCCCACGAGCCACAGGATGCCGGAACTGAGGGGCGCTCGCTAGATCGACGTCTTTTGGCCTCAGATCTCTCTTGGGAAATCTGAATCGCCTTTTATGTTTCAAGAAGAGTAGACACAGCCACAACTGTGCCGACGGCACCTTGTACAGCTCCTTCGACTCTTCCGAATCGGGGTCAGGTGAAATTGCACCACCTCAAACTGCGGAGCCACTAGTACATCGAGTGGCCGCTCGATGACTTGTCTTGTGCCATGTGGCTCCACAGGCAGAATGCCCTACCACGAATGACTCCAAATCATTGCTGCCACCCACTGGAAGATCACAGCGATGACCGCTTCAGACGGTGCCAGTGCACATGTTTCCCCTTGAGAGTCGTGCAGAACGGACTGCCTGCACCAACCTCCAAGCAAAGAGCGTCTGCTGCAGCGCACTACGCTCAGGGCTTTTCATACAGGCGTACGAAGCGTACGAAGACATGAAACCATGGAGCAAAAGGGAAGGCCAAGCTAAGGCCAAGCATTGCTACAGGTCAACATCAACTCGGTCCAAGTGGCCTCTCCCCTTGCTTTGGCCTGGAGTGACATGGAAATCAAGGAAGGCCTAAGGCTGACGAGGCCTATGAAAGAGCCTGAAGCAACAAATGGAATACAAAGAATGGAAAGAAGGATTGCACACCTTTTCCATCCACCGCGCCGATGTGATGCCACTAGCGGGTCTAAAGAATGCTTCTCCGGTTCACTCGAGAAGCTTGGGGTCAACGTGTCAACGAATTAGGGCATGTGCTCGTCCCACCCAGACGTATCACCAAAAGAGATAGAGTGATAGTCTCAGCATGTCTCAGCCGTCAAGAAAAAAGTAGCGCAGTGACGTAGTGACGTCGTGTCTTGGAGCGGGGCATTCATAAACTTCTGCAGATTTTGCTGCAACGGCTTCATGAATCCACACATTCGACAACTTTTTCGCACAACTGAACGATCGAAAGAGTCAAGAGAGATGTCAGGAACAAAGTCAAGCAAAGGGCAACAGAGGACAAAACAGAGGACAACAAAAAGGACAACGGAGGACAACAGCTTCGCATCGGCCGCTCGTGTATCGATGCAAACCACGATTGTCACATTGAGAAGGCGCACTGCCCACTGCAAGGCGGGAGTGCGCTTGTAGCTGTACGCTGTGCCATCGTGAAACATGCTTGTGCTTTGCACAAGCCTGGTGGCTTTCAAAGGTGTAGCCATGCAACCCCACGGCCACAAGCTCCCATGCCAGCTGGGGAAATCAGCCCTCATAACCTGGCCCACGGAAATTTTTCGCCCATTCAACAAGCTACAAGTGCTGATCGAGAAAGCTGTACATATCGAGGGCCACACAAGCTGTGCAACTCCAAGTCTAAAAGTTTTTGGCAGTCTTAAAATTCTTGCAAGCCGTCAAGAAATCCTCGTAGACGATCTTGCATCCAGGGTAGTCCTCCATCATGCGCTCGGGGTGGAACTGCAAGCCGACCATGAAGCGTCCCTGCGATGGATTGTAGCGAGAGTCGTAGAATCCCTCAAGCACGCCATCCGGCGCATAAGCCATTGGCTTCAAGCCTTTTCCCAATGTTTTAACGCCCTGGTGGTGGTAGGAGTTCACGCTGAGCTCATCGGTGTCAACAAGCGACTTCTCAAACCAGGACGCAAGAGGGGTGTCTGGCAACACTCTGATCGGATGGCGGTACGTGTCGTAGGTTGGGTCACTTGCATCCTTCAGATGTACAATCGCATTCGGAACCTCCTTCTCAATGTCACCGATCAGCGTTCCACCTCTGAGCACGTTGAGCATCTGCGAGCCACGGCAAAGGGAAAGAACAGGGCACCCTGACTCAAGGGCTAGGCGCATCAACGCAAATTCGAGCTCATCCTTGGGGACGTCCTTAGATGTCAGAACTTCTCCTACATGCATGTGGCGAGATTTCGGATTGATGCTGACAAGCCTCGAACTCAGTATCACTGGCCCACTTCATGGCATCTTCTCCGTCCAGGCGGTCGGGAGCAGAGCATCCTGAGCTAAGCTGCTTTGGACAGCACTCGGATAGACTCTATCTAAACTTGAGATGTGGTGTCTAGGCCCTGTAAGGCTTGAGCCATACTTGCTGAGGACCTCGTCGGAGATGTCGTTACCCTCTACAACGAGCAGGCCATCCATTGGCAAGTACTCGGCCAAGGCGGGTACTGTCAAGGCTGTTCGGGGGATCATGATGGCTGCACCCCCGTTCTCTTGAATGAGGTCCAGGTGGTACTCTCCAAGGAAGTCGACATACTTTCCCTTGCGCAGGTGCCGCCGCGTGACGCACAGCACTCGCGGTGGTGCCTTGTGGATGCAAGCAAGCAACAGTTCTAGGAGCTAGATTCGTCAAACATGGTGCAAAACTTCGCTGTTTACATGCTCTCCGTGCTGAAAGCGAACGCAGAGCCCAAACACATCACAGAATCACAGTGTGCCAAATTGGTCAAAAAGATGCATTCCAGAATTTTGGGAGCTCCCTGGTCAGCTTGTAGCGTTGTAGCGCGGACCGTTTTGGGAGACAGTCCTTCTTCTTGCTCAGGATCTTGCGGGCCACCCTAGCCGGGGACGGTCCCTCGTCTGTCGCATCACTGTCATCTCCATCACGAGCTACGCGGTACAAGGGCGGACACATCTTGCCATGCTCGCGGTCTTCATCAGTATCAATGTCCCTCTCATCCAGCCCCATTATTTCAAATCGGGGGTCCACATCATCTTCGCTTGGAAACTGCTTCCGCCTGTAGATGCAGGAGTCGGAGGAAATGCGAGCATATCCTTGAGCTCCGCTGTGTGCCATTCAGTCGGAACAACGGCTGGCGTGCGCCCGAAAAACTGACACAAGAGCTGCCTCGCTGTGAAAACTACGCGCTGCCTTCGAGCATCAAAATCATTTTAACACAATGAGCACCACAGCTGATGTGGAAATGACAGGTCAGTATAGGCATGTGGGGCTATTGTGCTCCATCTCTCCGGCTTCTGAGTCTCACACCGCAAGACATCGTGCCTTGGACAGGTGCTCCTGGCAGATGTCAGGTGCAACAATGTAACAAGCAGCAAAACGTGAAGAGAACGTTGGCTGAAGGGCCATCTGAAGATTTCGGAAGCTGGCCTGCACGTAGCTGTGCGGGTCTGCAGGCTTGGCAACGAGTAGGCCGTGAAGAAGCTCCTCTCTGTTGACTCCAGCAGAGATTTGCTACTGTCTTAACATACGATTTAGCGTGGGCCAGAGGCCCATGAGTATTTTAGTCCTGGAAAGTCCTCACCAGGTCATGCTCCTGGCGGCATGTGAACCCTATCAGCTATCAGCGAAGACAAGTCTTCTGCTATGGCTTCAGGTGGCGTAATTCCGCAGCTGGCCCTAAAGGTCGTCACCGACCCTGTTAGATGAACTGCTGAGAGGCTTATCACTGCTTGCACTCCTAACCGCTCTCAAAGTCGTGTTTTCACGCCTTCAATGGACTCAGCTCACTGGATACCTTTGAAGCGGCACCACGCATCCACAGAAGGCTCCCGTCCCAAGAAGCCAGAAAGCATCGCATTTCCTGGCTTGGTCGCACAAGGCCCCAGGATTTCCGATCGAAGCCGCTCACCCGTGCTTGCACTTAGCGGTCCAGTCTGTGAACTTCGCATTGATTCAAAAATATCTGCTGCGAATACATCGCTCCAGGCATAGCCGTACACTCCAGCATCATATCCGATGTAAAGATGATACCAAGACGAACTGAAGTTCGAGTTGGGCAGCTGCTTCAACGATGTAACCTTCTCGAAGACAAGCCTGTACAGCTCAGGAATAGATAGCCCTTCCTTACCATCGAATGAATAGGGAGGTGCTTGAGAGTGGAGCAACAGGTCAAAGATGGACATCGCAAAAAGTCGGCTCTCCTGCGTACCTGGCCACGGTGGCAGAGCTGTCTTCCTAAGGAAATTTCCTAACGAAATTTTCGACAGCGACATCCGTGTTGAAATGCTAGAAGCACATAACAATATCTTCGAGACATGTCCCACCGCGCCTGCCATGAACCTTTCCAAAGCCTGTATCTGCTTGATGGTCTGATCATCGAGCTGGGATCCGTCTCCAGAGAAGTGTCGGGCAACGCGGTGGAGCAGCTCGGGCTCCCCGGCAAACTTCTCAAGAGCCATCGAAGGCACTTCCAGGAAGTCTTGCTCGACACCACCTGGCCAAGGCACCATCGGCCATGCCCACGAAAGGATGCTGAAGCGAGTCTCCGTGCACAGGCAGTGCATCGCATGACCGAGCTCGTGAAACAACGTCTTCATCTCAGACAGACGTAGCAGCGCGGGCCGGCCCCCCTCCGAGCGGGCAAAATTAGAGATATTCACACAGGCCGGCACACATGTGACACCCTCATCCCTCCCCCCTATGCCCGATGTGCTCGTGAAAGCAGGTGCCAAAGGCAGGATCATCTGATGTGAAAATTTCCCATCGCGTGGGAACTGGTCCAAGTAAAGATGTCCCACAAGCCTCCCGGATTGTGAGTCTTTGACCTCAAAAGCCACAACCTCCTCGTGCCACACTGGCAGCTCCGCACTGCGCTCAAACTTGAGTCCAAGAAGCTGGGAGTAGACTTCAAGAATACGCTGAATTGTCCCCTCCAGGGGAAAAAACTCCTTGACCTTCGCATCGTCGAGGTGCAGCTCCTCTCTCTGTACAAGGTCAAGGTAGTAGGAGATGTCCCAGGCATTCAAGCCTCGCGCCGGGCTCTCCTTGGCTTCGTTCAAAGAGACAGCGCATTCCGCGTTTTCTGCCGTTGTTAATTATAGCGACCAAAAAGCTGAAGAAAGTCAAAAAAACCCTTTTAAGGGGTTAAGATTTGGGTGGCCCACTCGGTTGGCATGCATCGGCTCTTTATGGTTCGTCTCTTTTCGTAAGACAGGGGAGGCTCTGGGGGCTCGTCGTCCAACTTCCGCTTGCGACTTGCAGTTTCGGCTTCACACTCTTGCTTCCTCAGGGGTTTAGGGTTTAGGGTTTAGGGTTAAGGGTTTAGGGTTTAGGGTTTAGGGTTTAGGGTTTAGGGTTTCGAGTTTCGGGTTTCGGGTTTAGGGTTTAGGGTTTAGGCTTTAGGGTTTAGGGTTTAGGGTTTTGGGTTTAGGGTTTAGGGTTTGGGAAGACGGGGGGAGCAGGGGTGGGGTGAGGACCCGAGGACGGGATCTGAGCCATCTGCTTCCTTCTTTCTGATCTGCTTCCTTCTTTCTGCATTTTTTGGTCAACGGGTCCTTGAGCTCAGCTGGAGCAGCTCGGCATCACGAAGTGGACGAAGCCTCTGCACCATGTCCTGCAGGCAAAGAGGAAGCCCAAAAGATGAGAAGAAGGCATCTGTTCTTCGAAAATCATGACATCTTGCAGCGACGCATGGCCCTGGCCTCACAAAACAGTCGCACTGCTTCTGCCGTTCCGGCCTAAGGAGAGGTGGAGGGAAGACAGCCCTGAAGGGAGGAAGGGAAGGAGAAGGAGAAAGGAGACCCCTCCAGACTCTCCCTCCAAGGCACCATCTTCTGGGAGGCGACCCGCTCGGCGTGGCTGCCGAAGCCGAGGCGTTGGGCCGCTTGGTGCCGGAGGGAGAGGAGCTCCTCTCCCAGGTCCCAGGACAGAGGGGGCTCTCCTCTCTCTCTCTCTCCCTCTCTGTGTGATGCTCTCGCAGAATGCCTCCAGAAGTGGGCCATTCATCGCGCATCGCTGGTGACTCGCCTTACAGCCCATTGCATGTGACAGCTGCACCTGCTCACAATGCGCGCTTCATGCACGAAACGGGCCTCCAGCATGCGGCGGCGGGTGGCGCTGCTGTGTGCCCTCTGCATAATGGGTTGGAGCACCGGAGCCTTCAAGGAGCAGCGCTTCAGCGCTGAGCCGTTGGAGCCTGAAGCGTCCGGCAAGCTCCGAATGAACGACTCCTCGCAGCCCTGCAACTCCTCCACGGACAAATCGACCGTGCTGCAATCTTCGTTGATGTTCTGCTCGGCCTCGATCGGCCAGAGAAACCCTATAGATGTGAGGAAGTGATTGGACCGATGGGAGTGCAAGAACGGCTAGCACGGGAGCTACATTGCTCTACAGAGGCTCTACATGTTGGAAATTCGAAAGGCTTGGAAAGCCCCGATGTTGATGATATTGGCAGGTTCTGAAGGCCTGAAAGGCCAGCTCCTTGCAACGCCGGTCCAGGGAGGCCAGCTCTTCACGTTCCTCTGCCTTCAGCGCGCAGCCGGCCTGGCGAAACTTGTCCAGCACTACCTTCACAAGGCGCTCCTCCTCCTCGCTCGCGGCGGAATCTTTGGCCGCATGCAAGATTTGATAAAGGTCGAGTCGCGTGTAGGTCTTGGACCACATGTCACTGAGGCGCTTTTTTGCATCGGCGGATGCCGCTCGTGCCTCTGAGTCACCACTGACAAGGGCAGGTAGTGTCAGCTCAACACTAGCAAGAGATGCAAGTCCGTCTGCATCTGCCAGCAGCCCGAAGGTTGATGCAAAGGAAGCACCCGGACACTGCGCGCCAGATACCAGCCTTGCGATCCTTCGCTCATATTCTTCGGTCAGCACTTTCAGGCCTGACCGAATCTCCTCAGCAGACTTGGTCAGGTGCAGCTGATGAATACCGACATTGGATGCCGACCTCATGGCCACACGGGTCGAAAGCCGTCTCGCCGCCCGCATGCGCCGACAAACAAATGCGGCTGCCGAGGTAACTTCAGCCAAACAGCATGTGTGTGCATCTAGTCTTGTGCACGAAACTCTACTGAGCGGCGTTTGTGGTGCGACACGGTGTGTGACGCTTCGGCAAGTCTGACCAGGCTCAGTTTGCAGTGCATGGCCCACAGTCGCATGTAAGTACATTCTGAGTTCTGCGGGCCGAGATCACATGAGGATGAGGATACGGCAGAGACATGTGACTTGCCTTCAACCCCTTCAACCCCTGCATCCCTGGTACCTCGAGGTACGAAGCAGCCTGCTGGGCCATCTGGAGCCGGCCGGCCTGCAGTTCTCAGCGGACGGAAGCAACATGGGCACAACTTGTGCAGCATGCGCGAGCCCAACAGCCCGAAACCCGTAAGCTCCTAAACCCGAAACCCCTAACCCCTGAAACCCCCAAAGCAACCAAAACCCAAAACCGCCACTCCGGAAAGCGAACCTTTGGGCATGCCAGGCTTCTGGGGAGTGGCTAGAGGATTTAAGGTAAAGTGTGTTTGAGGCTTTACGGTCCCCAGATGCCCCCAGTCTAGTCTGGAGTAGTTCTTGAATTTTCCCTGCGACTTTGTTGCAGAACGCTGGTTGAATTGTTTTTGGTGGTCGAGAGGTATTCCTAGTTTAGGCTCGTATCACAAGAGGGGTAAGGTTCAGGGTTTTGGTCTGGGTGAGAGGACCAGTTTCAACTTTCTCCATGCACGACGTTTCCGGTACTCCATGCTCTGCCACGATCTACAAGCACAAGCCCTCAGCAGGCGGTTCCGCGGTGGTAAGGTTGTTAGGACGGATGCGTGAAATTGGTATGCCATGATTGTAAGCATCTTGCAGAGGCATGCTCGTCGGCCCTTGGCTTCGTCCGCAACTCCACGCCATCTCTGGGAAGGCATAGTCTGTGGCCGCCGGCAGCTCAACGTACGACTCGATGAACGTCTTGGCCTCTGATCCTACAACCGACACGCAGAAAGTGCGTGTGCCTTCAAGGCCTAAGCTGCGTTGCCGATGCGTCGGGGGATAACGCTTTGCAAGCCACTGCCGGTTTGCGCCTGTCTGCCTTGTCGGCGAAGCAACAACCAAACACAGACGTAGGACAGACTTGCAATGAACAGAAGCCATATCGACGCGCTCAGGATGCCTCAGCCACAGCGTCATTGTGACAAACACACACACACACAAACACACAGAAAATGAAACAAAGAAACAGCGTAGACAAAGAAACAAAGAACCCAAAAACCGCCTGGCTCCCTCGGCACCAGGACTTTTGGAGCTGACTTAAGCCCTTTCTCAAGTCAAGACCCAGGCACCGAAGTTCACGGCCAACTGCGAGCAGATGTATGGCGTGGGACCTCCAAGCAGAGCTGCGGAGAGGTTGTAGCTGATCCCCATGGCAATGACGCGAATTTCGACGGGAAAGGAGCTGTGCATCAGATACGGGTTGCCCCAGGCAATCAGACCACCGCCACAAGCCAAAGCTGACTGCGAGAGAAAAGCAGCCCAAAACACCCTCAAGTCAAAAAGGAGGTAAGCCGGAATTGCCAGAACGGCCAGCAAAGCCATGCCTCTGCGGACAGAAGTCAGGAAGTTGAAATTCCTGCAGCAGGTGGCTATACCAATCATGAAAAGCGAAGGTGCCAGCTGCATGCATGTGTTCAATTCTGCACCACCAGGCACTGGTGCTTGCGCTGTCAAGGTGCCCTCGTAGACCTGCTGTATCCAGATGAAGTTTTGGTACCACGTCACGGGCGTGATGGCCTCAACACCGATCATCAGTAGAATCTCCACTTTCTGCGCCCAAAGGGCTGTCAACAAAGGCTGCGACAGCTGCCCTGACTGCTGGGCTTCTAGGAACTCCGAAGGCTCTGCAACTTGCCGCCGCAAGACAACGCCCACAACACCCACGATCAAACCCAGCCAAAAGCAAATCCTCCATCCAACACTCTCCATCGCCGCTGTGGACAGCACGTTCCGCATCAGCACGACCACCCCAAAGCCAGAGAAGGTGCCCACTGCAACAGACACGGACATTAGAGCACCCGAGATGGTCTTGTGCCTGCCTGGGGCGTGCTCCATGCTAAAGACCAGGGCACTGACGTACTCTCCTCCTATGGCGATGCCCTGAAGCAAACGCAGGATGACAAGGAGGACGGCAGAGAGCCACCCGGCCGTCTGGTAAGTGGGCAAGCAGCCGATGAGGAAAGTAGGGAACATCATTAGTAGAATGGACGTCCACCTCAGCAGTAGAAAACACAGCTGAAGTTGAAGTACATGAAAGGTAGGGGCGTGCTTGTAGACCACTTCGCACTTTACTTGTAACCCTATGGAACTAAAAAACTAGGGGACTTGAAAGCGCGGTCATGACCACTTGTAAAAAGTGGCTTCTATCCTAGCCAAAGAATGGTAAACAGAAACTACTGGCGACACTACAGTACTGTGCACAAACCCGAATAGATTTGTATGTCGGCCCAGTTGCAGTGCGTACTTTCGGCCAAGTCGATCTCCAATCACGCCGATCAGAATTCCACCGACCGGTCGCGATATGTAGCCAGCTGCAAACGCAAGAAAAGACTGCATCACTTGAACAGATGCATCGTGAGCTGGGAAGAAGTTCTGTCCCAGAAGGTCAGCCAGCGCGGCGTACACCCCGAAATCATACCATTCAAGCCAGTTCCCCAAGGCTGCTGCAACAAACTTCTTGTTGACCTAGTTTGGTCTGACGATTGTGGTACCCCACATTCCCACATTGCTATAAGCACAAGGCCCGAAAACGGAAAGTGTAAGACAGAGTTGTCGCTATTGAGACCGGGCCGCAACTCTCTCCTCTTTTACCTGCACGCCGGCAAACTCTGGGTCGCTGCTCTCGGCCATGCGCAAGGCGAGCCTCTAAAAGGTACAGGCCTATGGCCTATGGCCATTCAAGGACTCAAAAGGACAAATCCTGCGGATGCCAAAGACACATGTACATGCAATTTTGTGGAACACGTTGTCTGCCCTCGCAACTTCAGTGTGGCCGTTCCTCACACTTAGGATCTGGCGGGAAGACCTTTGCCATCTGCCGCGTTTGTGATGTCTACCTGACACATGCACAGGGCGCAGTGGTCCAAACACACCTCACTCCCAAGTGCAAAGGGCGCACCACCGGTCGTTGAAGCTCCGATACCGGACGCTGCTGCAGCCGCACCTGGCCACGCGTGCAGAAAGCGCAATGCCCATGCAGCTTCTGCGTGAAAAGCCTTGAAAGTGCTTGCACAGAACGCAGAGTTTCGAGACAGAGTGGGGTGTCCAGGTGTCCACCTTCATCTGTGGATCAAAGGCGACTTCAAAGGTCTCCTGGAAAAGTGGTGGCGAAACATCACACGGTTTTGCAGCTGCGCGTTCAGCAAGTTCGGTCAGAGCACTCAAAATCACATGCTCCTGCATGGGGTTGATGCTAACCATCTGGGCAGGAGCAAGCGGAGTCAGCACCTCCACCTCATGGGACGAGTTGGTGAGCTTAGCAGAGAGGTATGTGAGCTCACTGCGTAGTTTCAATTGCCACTATCGGCCTTCATTTGCAGCGGCTGCGCCGGAGAGTCATTGAAGCGAAAGTGCTGCCCTGTTTGGGACACCTCGAAGCTCCAAATATGCTGAGTGTCTAGAATCGGCTTCCGCTGCATCATGGGAGTTGCAACAGAGTGTGCTTTCTGATGCACAGAACGCAGAAAAGAGAACGCAGCTACGCAATGGATTGCAGCTCACTCAGCTGCTGACAGGCGCTTGTCGCTTCAAGTCTCCCCACCTGGGCATTTGGGTGAGAAAAACATTTGGGTGAGACAAACAAATAGGGTATATAGAACATGACACTCTTGGAAACACTCTTGGCATTGTGTGGCATTCGCTTATCAGCGTCACTCAGCTCTTGGCTTTAATGACAGGACCGAGCCCTCAGGCAGGCCCTCACTGCTCAGCAAGACCACCTCGACAAGTTTCAGCAGAAACGGACAAAGAGGGCCTTCGGGGTTCCTTATATGGGTTCCTATGCATTCCCATCAGGATCTCCGCCTCCATGGTCCAACGCGCTGCGTCGGTGTTCGACGAAGCCAACTGGCCTGTCCACGTGATCGACTGGCTCACTTTCTACACGCATCACACAGGATCTGCTCATATCTGCTCACTGCGTGGCCTGAAGATTGTCGTGAAGCTTAGCTCAAGGACATTTGCCCTCAAACATGCTTGCTTGAAGCCTGCAATGGCTGCGGCAAATGAAACGTCACGCCAGTGGCAAAGCTGGATCGAACTGGTCTCTGCAGCCTATTCGGGCTCTAGTCTTACTCGCTCGGAAGTCGAAGCGCAAGTCTGGTTCGAACTCAACTAACATGTGGAACTCTGCAGCTATCTGCCATGTGAGTGTCTGAAGCAGTTTCTAACCCTTGGCGAGTCGCACTTGGAAGTGCCCCAGTTTCGAGACATCAACTGCGAAGTGAAACAGAGGCCATGACGGCTGTCATCATTTTCTACACCTTCTACTGAGCTTACGACTGAAGACCCGAAAGATCTTCCGACATCAGCGCATTTCTCCGACGTCCACTTCCGGGTCGGGGGAGCTCAGCGGAAACTGTTCCCCAATGCTTTTTTTATCAGCTCCACGAGAGGAGGGGGGGGGTTCAGAAGGCGACTCTCACGGCCTGAGATGGGCCGAGGGCCCACGCGCGCTGCGAGGCCGGCTCCTTTTGAGCACAAGATCTTGCGTCATAAAAGGAGCCCCCCCCCCCTCAAAAAAAAAAAATAATAATAATAATAATAAAAGAACCCGAAAAATGAAGTGTCTAAAACATACAAAGCTGTGGAACCTGGGGTGAAGCCCTTGTGGGGAACCCTTGCCTGCGGGATCCAGGCCGAGGCGTTGCGTAGGCAGCCAAGGTGCGAGGCTTCACTGCCTCGAGGAGAAAAAGACTTCGAGAAGCTTCTTTTTTGCTTTTTAGTACACAAGCTGAACCTGGGCATCCACTATATAACTATATCACTATCTCGACTGTCTCAGGGCTTCCCTGTCTCAGCGCTTCCCTGTCTCTGCAAATGCCGGGCCTGGCAATCGCGGCGCTCGCGTGCTGACATTGGGCAGGCTCTGTGATGCTGTAGCTCCAGGTCCATCTCCTTGTAGGCCAAAACCCGCTCAAAGCCTAGAAGACGGGCCCAAAAAAAGCCTGTAGGGGCGGTTCCTGGCGCCGCCGCGCTGCAAACCGGAGCCGGCCGCTGCGCTGGCGCTGCAGCTCGGCCTGAGCGCAGTCTTGGAATGTCTTGGACACATTTTCTCCCAGATTTTTCGGATTTCGGTCCTGGTTCTTGTCCCGTCGCGACTCCTCCAGCTCTCTCTGCTGCTGCAGCAGAAGCTCCTGGAAGCGACGAAGACAGGATCCAAAAAGTCTCATGCGGCAAACTAAGCTGCCTTTGCCTGTGCCCGCCCCTTCTCTTGTGAATGTTCGAAATGGCATGCAGATTGATGGGACTTGTTGTGTCAGGCGTGCCCTCGTCCCCAGTTCCGCAAGCGTGATTTCGAGCGATCTATAAGCATTCTGCCTCCTCTTGGTGCTGCCGACGCCCTAGCAAACAGATTGCGTTGCACATCCATCCGCTGCGATCATGAGCCTACATGAACATGTATACATCTGGGACACAGGCTGGCTTCCAGCTCGGCTTCCTTCCTGGCTAGCCAATCTCGAATGCGTGCCTGAGCAGAGGACAGTTCTCTGCATCGTTCTGCTGCCACGTCATACAACCACTTGCCTGCTAGCATGGTGTCATAGCATCCGGCCTGCTTCATTTCCCTGGCTTCGACATCGCAATCAGGTTTGCACTCATCGACCTCCCGCCATGTTTTGACATTTGTGTTGAAGGCTGACGCCGCGTGTAGAATACTGGTGGGGGATTGGCACGGACAACTCTCGTGCTTTTTTTGGCAGCATTAGCCCACATCACATCTCACGATGTCTCCTTCAGCAAGACATTGAAAGCATTACGACCATTACCAAATCGAGTGCGCTGTACCAGGAGGTCCTCGTCAACGAAAGCCACCTCCCGGGAGATTCTAGAGAGACCACATAGACATGCGATGATACGCCCCACGTGGCTTACATTGCATATGTTGACATGCACCACACTTCTCGAAAGTGTACCCACTCAAATGCGCCTCGAAAATCCCAGCACCCGGCGGCAGTGGTAAGTTCAATGCAGGTGCTGGCAGTTGCAGACCAGCCATTTCGGCCAGTCGTGTGGAGCTGTAGCGAAAGACCAGCTCCACAAGAAACGCATCGTCCATCGGAGTGACAACCTTCCAAGTGCAGTTCACTTCCTGGGTAACCTTGCTGCCAAAAGGAGAGCAGAAATCGATTTCGTTCTTGGCGAAGCTTGCGGTCAGAAATGACTGCCCAACCCGACCAGTCTGCCATCCTGGTAGAGGCAGGTTCTCCAGAGAGGTCAAGTCTGGCGAGGATGTGTACACTAACTTCCAGCGACCTCTTAGGAGGTCGCGCCGCATGTTCAAATCCCGGGCTGCCTTGAACTCTAAGGCCAAGGCATCCACAAGCTCCGCCGCCCTTTTCCGATCTGCATCGCTGGCACTGAATCCGCGGTTGCCCGCAGCCGCAAAGTACAACAAATCGCGCTTACAACTCCCAAGAGTCCCTGCACCTTCCATGCGTTCGGAAGACACGCTGCGTCTCCTTAGCTGCCTTCGTGACCGAGCAGGTATTCTGTGGGCAAATTGTGCAAGACCAACAGCGACAGCCACAGGGGCGAAAGGAGCCCAGTCACTGGCCCTGCTTCTGGCAGGCTCCTGTGATCTCTTGTGGGATGCGACCCGGCTCGGGCAGGCGAGCGCTTGCCTAATTGCAACCTGTTCTGGATTCGCAAGGGCCATGGCAGCGATCGTGAGGCCGGCTGGCAAGGACTCTGGCAGAGCCAAAGGTAGCTACATGGCATAGAGTGCCAGCGACAGCGACAGTGAGAGAGAGACAGAGAGAGAGAGAGAGAGAGAGAAGAGAGAGAGAGAAGAGAGAGAGAGAAGAGAGAGGAGAGAGGAGAGAGAGAGAGAGAGCAGGGGAGCGAGAGAGAAGAGAGAGAGAGGAGAAGGAGAGGGAGAGGGAGCGGGAGAGGGAGCGGGAGAGGGAGCGGGAAAAGGAGAGGGAGGGGGAGACAGCAGGCAAGCGCACGAAAGAGCACGTAGGGCCTGCTTCGAAAAGGGTTCAAGACTTGATCAGGGAGGCTGTGGCACATGCTGTTTATGTTTAGTTTACTAATTCTGGACGACAATGGTTCACCCAGTCCAGGTCACAACATGGCCCTCCGACCTCTTTTGCACCTGCTCTCAGCGCGTTTCGATGAACATGTTCCCCGTAATCTGAAGCCCTGCTTCACGGAGCCATGAAACGACCCCCTCACTGTCCAGCTCGCATCCCTCGTAGGTGGCTTCAGAATCATGTCGGGATGTGCCAAACTGGGACTCCAAGGTCGATGCCAGGGACAGCAGGCGTTCAACCAGCCACTCCGCTTTGGCGGAGCGTGTAGGTGCCGCCTCGGACGCGGCCTCGGCAGGGTCCAAGGCCCTGGCACGGTTGGGTGGCACGTCCGCCGTACGAAGTTCCTCCTCCTGGAGTTCCGCTGTTTCCCAGGGCAGAGACCGCAAAAAGCGAACGTCTACGATGGCGCCCAGCCGATACAACGATTCCAGGACAGACTCGTCCAAGGGCATCAGTTCTTGCAGGAGCTCATTCGGACGGCCAAAAACGACCACTTCGAGAAAGAGACCATCCTCCTTTCGAATGACGGATGCGATTCCAGCGAGGAAGCCAAGCCGCCCTTCTGCGCGCAGCGAGATGGTGGCGCAGCTGGCCGCTGCCGAGCTCAAATTAGAGCGGTACGATGCTTTGGGCCCAGGCTTGAGCTGCAGCCTGATGGAGGCCGCGCCCGCCTCTTTGGTGAGTGCTGTGGAGTATCCCACGACCAGTGCAGGCATCGCACTGCCCATGGCTGCGGCGGCCGCGGCGCGCGCAGCCTCCACGGACACCCGCAAGGGAAAGCTGTGACTCGCCCGGCCGGTGGGGCACCCAACCAGAGCAGAGTTGTCCGCACAGGAGCTGATCACACCACCCATCTTACGAGAGTGGAATGAAGTGGAAAAGAATGTGTTACGCCTCTACCCTCGTGAGTCGATGGATTTACACGTGTAATCCACACTGCTTGGCCAAGTGAGTCGAGCATCTCCATACTGATATCGAGCCAACTGCAGCAGTCACCATGCAAAACCCACACAGCTCAAGGTCTCAGAATTTCAGCAGTACCGCATGAGCCATCACGACATGCGGTATTAACATATGAATACTCTATCGAGAAAACATAACCCTCCTTCATGCAGGCAAGCCAATGCTACACAGGCCGCCTGGGCGACGCGCGCGGCACGGGGTCGGCGCCTGATTCTCAGCTTATGTCACCAGCCAGTCGGAGTCTGGCCCTGTGACGTGAAGTTGCAAGCGTGCCTTGCACTTCCCGACCGACGCATCAACAAAACATCACTGGGCCGCCTGTTGCGACAGCGGCAGCTCTAGTTCGAGAATGAAACTCTGCACCTACTGAGTCAGACTTCTCCTATCCATGCTTCACGTGCATCGATGCTATTCGCATTTCATGGCGGACCCGTTTCTTCGGAGCGGGGGCTCGGCCATGGAGCACATGCAGTTGAAGCAGGTTGAGTCGGCCTTTGGCAAGGCAGATTATGACAAGGAAACCGTCCAATGCTTGCTGAGGCTATTGCAGTGCAGTCACACGCCCGCTGTCCTGCAATCAGCAGAGGTGCTATACCCAGACTGACTGGATTAACTTTCCACGCCTTCTGCAGCGTAGCGAGGCGCAGGCCCCTGGCAGCTTGAGATCGGGAATGATAGTAAACGTGAAGAGTGCTGCAAACCATGGATGCCTTCATTGAGGACCCGCCGACGCTCGTAGCTGACGTGCTGCTGCGGGCGGACCTCAGAGTTTGGCCAAGGATTCACAGAGTCTCACAGACGCCACCGGCCAAAAAAGAAAGTAACAAAGTGAAAGAAACTCTCCTGGGCGGCTGCCATGGCCGTAGTATGCGATTGCAGGACTCCGCATAGGGTGCCTGAGAGCTTGGGGCCAGGCTCTGAGAATTTGAGAATGAGCTGACACGAGGGAAACTGGCCCGATGCGCTGAGACTGAGATCCTGGCCCCGGGCTCCCACAGGTGGGACGCTGCTCCTGCACCGAGCAATGATCAACAACGTAAAAGAACCTAGTAAGACGTAGTAGAAGCACCGAAAGCTCAGCCAGTCCTCGCGACGTCTTGGTCGCAGAAATGGGCCTCTGCGGATGGCAGAGGGGGGAACTTTGCCGACTCTGCCCTCAGCGCTATTCAGCGCTGCAATGCGCTGCACGCCTCGCCACCAAACCTGGAGGACCTCCGACCCGAAAGGCCGAGGAGGGCCTGCACCAGGCTGACAAGAAAAGGCCCCAACATGCCTCAACAACGAACTCAACGGATCTTAACAGAAAGTGGATGTGGAGGTTCGCCCTTCTCGTGACCACTCGACCGGAAGCTGCCAAGATAAGGTTCCTTTACTACCACTTTGCTATCGGGATGCTATCGGATGATTGAAAAATTCGCCTTACCCTCTCACCAAACATGATGTTTGACATCTTACAAACATTCTGACGCACCGTGACTGGCTCACGCATCCGCCAACAGGTGTCGAAGGCCTGGCACATAACACGCACGCAAATGGAAGATGCGACTTTGCACCTGCAGAACTTCTGATATCAGGCCTGCGCACTTCAATGCCCTCCAATTGTCCTGGCAATGGCAAACAGGCTGACCCAGGCTGACCCTGCTAGCCGCACAAGACAAAGACAAACACGGCGGAAGGGCCATCAAAAGAACTCTCAGCCAGGCTCTCACCCGCTCCATCGAAGGCAGCGCTCCCCTTCGCTCCCAAGGTGTTCCGGTACTGGCGAACTGGCCGGGACAACCACGGCCGCTTTTCCAGCGTGCCCGTGTTGTCGTAAAGGCTCCTGGGGCAAGTTGGGTAATTGAGGTCTACCTCAATACTCCACCACTGACTCCACCACATCAACATCGACAGACAGAAGCCTGCCCTTTGCTTACAACTGCTCACCCGAAGCAGCAGAGAAGGATCTCCTGATGGCCCGAACCAAATGCTGAGAGAGACCAAGCTCATTCAACGAAGGGCATTGCCGTGGCGAAAGCGGTGAAGCAGGCTCGCCCGGCTCGCCTGGCTCGCCCTCCAAGCAACGGTCATGCTGAGCGGCTCCGCAGTGGACTCCACAGCGTGCATCGCTCGCATCCATTTCTGGTCCCAGGCCGGGCGACATCTTCTCAGGAGAACCCTGTGTCTGACAGTGTCTGACATGTTTGCCATCGACTGTTGATTAAGCTGCCCGTTGTCTAGTGAGGCTACATCGACGTGCCCGAAGTGTTTTGTGCCAGGGCTCGCTCACAGATACTCTCCACATCGATTCATTCGAGCAGAACAGAACGAACAAGCATTTGCAAGGCATTGCGCTGGAACTTGACGAAAGACCAGCGTTGCCACACAGCCCTCTCACCAGCTGTTTCAGCTTGTGCAGGGGACTAAAGATGCAATCTCGACAGAAATCGGGTAGTGGCACATGTCGTTTGTTGAGCTCAAGCACAAGGTACACAAACCCTTGAGATCCTGGATGATCTCGTCAGGTGGAAACCTCAAGGTCAAAAGAAACTGCAGGGCGAGGACAGTTTGGGAAACCTAGTTTCATGATAGCATGCTGCAGAGCAGAATGCACTCACGCACCCCGAAGTCAAAACATGGGTTCCCAGTTGGCGATTGTGGTGGGAAAACCCTCGGTTCTGGGACAACCCCAAGGCTGTTGGGGGGAAGCGGACACAAGGTCTTTGCCAGCAACTCCTGGTCTTGGTTCTGCACAAGCCGAGCTTCTAAGCCACGAAGACTCTACGAAGACTCTACGAAGACTCCGTGTGTGGACTCGGTTGGAGAACGTCTTGGCCCGGAAGCTCCGATGCTGGCAGATTAAACCTGTTGCTCTCACTTCGGAGCACTTTAAACCTGTACGATGCATCGGCTCCGCGTGGTCCTCATAACCAGTCGTCATTGGCATCCTCCACACGAAAGCAGAAAGCGCAGACATGCGTGAAAAATTGAAAGTCTGCGAAAGGTGCCTGTGGATCGGAGGCTTCAGCCGGCTCGCTCTCCGGAGTTTTCGCCTCCATCTCAGCCCTTGGAGCCAATGCTTTCATTCGAATGACTGCAAGTGAACACTCAAAAAGCTGCAAGGAAAGAAGCAAAGGGCACCACAACGGGAGCACCACAACAGACAGTTGTTTCTGTGAGCCGGGCTTCGTCTTCTGAATGAGCGAGAGTAGGAAGCTCAAGTCAAACCTGTCAGCTGCGATCTTCAACGGTGGGGGGACCTTGCGTACATGTCACCGACATGCATGATACATGGTGCAATGTCCCCCCTTCGCCCCTCCTTGTGTAGCTTTCAGGGTTTTAGAGAATCAGAGTTTTAGGCTTCAAGGTTTAGAGTACAGGGTTTATGAGGGGCGGGTGCGGTGTGGGGCGAGGGGGCCGGGTGGGTGGGGTGGTGGGGTGGGGCTGTGGGGCTGGGGGGCGGGTGGGGCTGGGGGGGGGTGGGGCGGGTGGGGCGGTGGGGCGGGGCGGGTGGGGCGGGTGGGGCGGGTGGGGCGGGTGGGGCGGGTGGGGCGGGTGGGGCGTATAGAATTTCGAAGCGATGGTCAAGCATCGTATATCTTAGTAAGGTCGTGGCGGTAGACGGTTGCGACACCTCCACAACCCAGGCTGCTAAGAGGTCTACAAAGTCCGCTCGTCAAGAGATCCAGGGCCAGGACCATAGAATTAACAACACCTGCTCGGAAAACCGCGAAAGCTTCCATATGTTGTGTTCGACAGCATCTGGCCTGGAAAAAGGAGCAAGCATAGCCCAAGATGCTTGGCATCAGGACCACAACATCCTCCCATCTGCAAACTGGCTCAATATCAAGGATGCCTGCAAAACATGACCCAGTGACGGTGCCCCACTCCTCAATTAATAAGGCATAGACGCTCCACAGCGCCTCTGACGAAGCGTTTCGATTGCCCTCTTCACCGCGCCAACATACTCATGACATAGTGCCGCCATGGTGCATTATTCACGACATTGATACCCACCCTGGCATGCACCCAACAAAGATTCTGGCGAATTAGATGAACAGTTGACACTGGTCACTAGCCAGCCCCGCATGAACGTTGGGAAGGGGCTGCTGTTTCGCGTACGCAAAACAGCACCAAGATTCATCAAAGGACACCTTGGTAAACACGCGCAAGGGCCAGTGATGCAAAATTTGAAGCCTGGCAGATGCTCCTGCTCCTCTCTCAAAACTCACAAAGAGGTACCGTGGAGACGCATGCGCACTCTGAGATGCTCACGAATACAAGAAGATGTTAAATACCTTCATCGCTATCAAGGCAAACGGCTTGTCAAGGTAAACAGCTTCGCAACTGCTGCCGAGTCGCTGTAATGAACTGTCCCAAGAGGTTTATTGGAGCCTTAGGTGCTGGTCGACTTGATGAGACCACAAAGTGCGCCTACCATCCAAGATGTCGCTCAGATCCTCACACTTCGTGCAACGACTATCCCACCATTGAGGATGATTGACGTCGTCAGTGCAAAAGGAAGCCACTGCGCGTCTCCAGCCCTGTTGCTCACTGCAACATGCAAAGTTGCAGAAATCCCATTTTCACTGGCTACCGTGCCTGATATAGTGCTCACCCGCCAAGAACAGGATCTGGCAGGCCAGACCTCTCTGAAGAGAATCGAGAAGGTTTGACACACTCCTGCAGTGAAGGACTCGTACCCGGCGAGGATTCTCAGACAAGAGCCGAAAAGGTTTGTCATGAGAACCGCTGCGTTGGCAATCTGCAGGCCATACCCGATGCTTAGGACATTGCAGGCCGCCTTGCAGCAGTTGATTCCCCTATGTGTCAACATCTCCCCCCAGAACAAGCTGCTGCACACCTGCGCTTTGAACACAACCATGGGGAGGTGGCTAGCCTCCCGAAACTTGGAATAGAAAAGTCGTCTCCGAAGGATTCCCGAAGCCAGGCCTTCATCCGCCGCACTGCCTCCAGAACCATTCCAGTTGGTGCAACCTGGGGGTACTCAGCACTCAATGGCAGCCTCTCAGCAAGAACCCGGGGGCTTCAACAGGGCCCTGGCGTAGGACATGATTGTGATCAGCGGGCATGCCAGCGACAAGCTCAAGGTCAGCACCTACGTCCAAAAAAAGAAGGACAGCACTGAGCCACCCAGCAACAATCAAAGAGAGCTGCCACCCTAGCCAAGATCTCGAAATGAACTCTTTTTCTACGTGCAAGAGTCGCTTGCCACATAACTGCCTAGTAGGGGTGAGACTTGCTACCCTTACCCTTGGATTTGGACGGGCCCCACCAGCCATCGTCCCAACCGTCCCAACCCCCGCCTCCCCAACCCCCACCTCCCCACATCTCACCAAGCATTTCTAGGGCCTGCCAAAGCTGGCCCGGATCGATGCCTTTGCCCTTGCCCTTGAAGTTCTCAAAGCCGAAGGCACCTTTGCCCTTGCCTTTCCGCTTGGGCTCCTTACCCGGTGGGAATCCATCGGGGTGTATCTTCACATTGGCCGCCTTGACACCCCGGGCATCCTCTACGATGTTGAAGGACACAATCGTGTCATTGGAATGGTCACCTAGCTGACTCCGTAGCACCAGGATGTCCTTGTCATAGACCTCTTTCGTCTCCTCACAATCGATGAAACCAAGACCTCTTGCGGCATCGAAGTTCTTCACCCTGCCCCAGTAGGTGGGCAGGCGCTCCGCCGCGTCGGCTATCCTTTCCTCAGTAATTGTGCATGTGGAGCTCTTGCTAAACTTCTGCCTTCTGCCACTCATGAAAAAAGAAGAAGCGCTAAGTCAGTACGTGCAAGCCACTATGATTTCCACTTCAACGGCTTTTGGGCCCTTGATGCCGGTTTCCACCTTGAAGCTCACCTTGCAGAGAAAGCAGCATCGAAAACAAGAGCTTGAAGCTTCCACTCATCAGCAACCCATGTCCGCATATACAGACAGGGCACCCTGTCTCCGGTACTGACAATCAGACCGTTCAGAGAGCTTCGTAAAAGAAAGATGTCCTTGCCTGGGAAGCAAAGTGGGGTAAGACTGACTATGGATTGCTCGTGGCATGATACATGCTAAACCGGCCCACTCCCAGAGCTGCAAAAGAGCTAGCCAGCTGAGCGTCCGTAGATTTGCTGAGTTTCTTTGCACTCTATGAAGCCAAAACCCTTGTCTTCATTGTAGTCCACAATCTGACCAGTGTAGGCCGGTCCATCAGCTTCTGAAGACGGTGCTGCAGAGGCGACAGCTGCTTGAAGAGCCACACCAGGCGCTGTGGGTACTGCAGCATACCTTAAGTGCTTACATGTATCACGTGCAAACCCAAGTGTCTTCGCTCCACAAGACAGCACGGCCGCACGTTGCATGCCTGGTTCTGACAAGGCACAGGCCAGCAGCAGTTGAAGCACCTGCTACGCCCGCAAGCTGCTGTGCCACGAACATCTGCTGTGCGACGACCTGCTGTGCCTGTAGAGCTTGCAGCCACGCAGTGTACTGTGCAGGATCCATGGCAGGCACAGCCACCGCCTGGTAACCAGCTGGTATAGCATACTGCACTGGCTGTCCCTCAGGCTGCGCTGGCGCTGGCTGTGCAGCTGGCACATCCACCGCATCCGCTGTCTGCTCTGGTTGGCCTTCCATCAGCGGACCAAGCCAGGCTGCACGATCGCCAGGTTTCAAGTTCTCCAATCAGGTATCAGGCTCCCGTTGGACCATGGCTCATCGACACACGAGGAATGAACAGTCCACCTACTTTCGAGCCGAATGCGACCAAGTCCAACCCATCGCAGACTTTGCGAGGATTCATCGCTTGGTTCTGTCATGAAGTGCCTGGTCTACCATTCTCTGGGATGCCTCGTGGTCTAGCCATCCTATCGTTGTCAGCGCGGGAAAGGCGCAGACAGCACCCACCTGGGACAAGGGCTGCTCGATGCTGATGTCATATGGTAGCCGAACCGTCTGAGAGCAGTGGCAGCAGCGAGCACGGCCGAGAGAGTCAGCAAGGCCTCATAGTCCAACACTTAAATTTCAACATACTGTCCAAAGTCCAGTGCATGGCTGAATAAACAGCTCAGTTCTCACAGCCAAGTGTCATCCAATACTTGGTATGGAGCTTCAAGCACAGCCTGGCTCTTGGAAACACGAAAACAAAAAGCTAAAGCAACAGAAACGGTCCGCTTTTCAGGATACAGTTGAATCAGGCTCTGGGACATCTGCCACTATGCCGGAGTGCAAGCGACCACCCTTAGGGGATGCAATTTGTTCACAGAAACATAAGGCGAGTTGTCAGCGAACTTGAAGGAAGCTTAAAAAAGTCTGGAGCGTCTGTAGACTGAGAGGCTGGCGAAAGAGCCAGCATAAGATGGCGACGGGGCACCTGGCACAGAGGCCAGCGCGAGCAAGCTTGGCTCGTACCGGTCTCCGCCTGCCCCCCAGCATGGCGCTGGAAGAAGACGGCCTGGCGCCCATCTTGCCCAGCCCCGGCAAGACAAAATAGGCCTGTGCCTCTCGGTGGCCTTTACCCAGGGCGGCGGGTGGGAGCTTGGGCCCTGTCCTCTCACTTTGGAAGGCACTCAAGACACCCCAAAGAGAGGTCATGTGGTGGGGTGAGTGAGTGCTGCACTGTAAGTAGGAGCTCGAAGCAACCTTCATTGGCGACACCTGTGGCGGATCTTCCCAGGCTAAACCAAGCAATCACACGGCCCGAGTCACACTGCCGGAGTCTTGCCTATGTTCCTTTTCAGCGAATCCTGCTCCATCTCGTTCACATTTGGGACACAGATACCGTGTCAGTATCATCGTTAGCACACACATGGGCTCAGCGAAGTTCCAACGAGGTCAGCATGTCACTGAACATCATGCGATTCGCTATATGAAGATGCTTGATCAAGTCTGGAGATGCAAAGACAACGCTGGAATATCGCGAGTTCTATAGTAGCAGCTTGACGTGGAACCACAAGCGACGCCAATGTCAATAGTATCGTGGACAGTGGCTGGCATGAGACTGTGCAGCTGAGTAGCACATGCCCACAGAACACATGAGATTTCCTGTTCGGCATCTTGCTCGCACGGGCAGTTGCAAACCTTTTGGAGCCCGCCGCTCGGAGGTGTGCAGAAACAGTCGAATCAACTACACAGCTATTGGTCGTTCCAAGTCCTCCCGCTGTTGACAGTAGACGAGTACCATAGCATGATTTGGCTGCATCAAGCCTTTTCCGGTCTAACAGCCTCCTGACCCATGTGAAGCTTGCATGGTAGCAACCCATGACCACAAAGGAGCCATGGAAATGCCTTCTGCGCTCAGCGCTTGTGGAACGGCGTCTTCCTGCGGGCCTTCAATGGTATGCATATGTAACATCATATGTGTGTGTCTGAAAAGGAAGCTTCACAACAGCCAGCACAGCTGTTACAAATCTCAAGCAGGCCTTTGGCTGACCCGGCTTCTTCGGCTCGACCATACGATAGTCACGCGTCAGGTACCTTGCCTTCTTCATCAGTGGCCTTCAAGGCAGGGATGGACGGCAAAGAGATGCTGACAGAGGCTGTGCTTGAACTTCGGACAGACTGCGACTGATTGCCTCCAGTTGAAGTTGTATTCCTGCATGGCACGTGCAAGAGCTAGACGGATGGCACCTGGGATTTGAACTAGCTGACTGGTGAAAGCTGGCAAGGGAAGAAGCAGTGAAGGCTAAGACAGCGACCTGCCTGTCCACTGACACCTCCACCAAAGCTTTTGGCGATGATGTCAAACCTCATGCACATGTTACGTGATGGGTCCAGATGCGTCAACGACAGTGCTCAGAGATCCTGCAACTGGGTGCTGTGACTTGTTCTTCTGGGACAGCGCAGCCAAGGGCTCACATGCCTGAAGCGACTTGAACGATGCACCCGAGGCATTGCTCGCAGAGACAGGCCACATTTAGTCCATGCTATCAGCCTTCAGCCACCAGTAGGGGTAATGGTTGAAATACGTAATTGCCTGAACAGGAGCACTTCGCTGCTCAAATATCACAACGACAGGATACACAATGGCCCGGCGCACATCCTTGCCATTGACGATGAACTGGCCATTGCCCTTGACGATGCGCACAATGGCACCTTGCTACTGCAGAGAGCCGGAAGCTGCGTGCCGCCGGAACAAAACAGCAAACGACACATCCCCAGGCTCGCCACATGCCGTCTTTCTCTTGCCGACACCCTGCCAGTACCTTTGCGCAGCTCCGCGCAGCTTCCCATGTCACCCCCTTTCACATCGTGTCGGTGCAATGTGAATGCACCAGAGGCGACCACTGAACTTTCTCATCCTCAACATCCATGTACCAGTTGCCATCAGGGGAACGTCCGTCACCTGGAGAACGACACATGTTACATTTTCACACATGTTCAACATATCCAACGTGCTTTTTTCATGTAGGTTGAATGTAGGCGGCAGGCCCCACTTAGCTCCGGGAGGTGGCGGCTCCAGCGGAGGGTAGTAGACGTTTGGATCCAATGGGAACTGCAGTCCTCAAGAACGCAGAGATAATGCTCAAAGCCTTTCTTCAGCTCCAGGTTCCAGTGTGGTCTAGGGCTCCCGGCCGTCGATGATCGGGACCTGCTTGTACACCGGTCCCCTGTATGGACGAAACCTTGGCCAAGGAAATTTGCAATTGCAAGCACCAGCTTGACTCTGCGACACCATGCTTGAATGAAAAAGGGTGATGCCATCTCAGTCTCCAACTTCCTTCCGCTCGGAATCTTGTGCCCATCGTCAGGCAAGTCTTTCTCGAGGTCGATCCCTACCAGCAATGAACTAAGAGCTGCTTCTGATTGAAAAGCCTTTGAGTTCTAAGGCTCCTGCGCTCCTCCCAAGGGTTAACATAGTTCTTCTTGCCGGTGACGGGATCAAACTTACCTATTACCAGGATATTACCAGCTTCACGAACATGACATCTTTCACTGCGAAAATCAAAACCCACGCAGTGCTCGGGCAGATCAACTGAACTCTTGGCCTGTTGTGATTTCGGCCTTCCTAAGTGTCTGAGCCTGGCCGGCACCACACATGCCATGCTACATTTTCGCAAGTGAGAGGAAGCCTTAAAAATGCCTCCATGGTCTTACAAGTGAAGCTGCAAGATCGCTCCCTGTCCCGATGGGGGGGCCTTTCGGGAGGACTTCTTGTGAGCACGGAGCGTCGCCAGCAGAGCCAAGCTCGCTGCTGCACCGGTGATAGCTGGAATGGTTGACTGGAGACCTGGCCGTCTACGCAATTGCCATCGGTGCGGTCTTGCAAACGGTAGAATCACCTTTGGCATGGCCATCGAGTGGAGCCGCTGCTCTTTGGGCAGTCGTGGCTGCTCGCGGCTTCCCTTCGTTTGTCACGATGCACGGCTGCACGAAGCTATTTTTGCATTACATCAATCACGATCAGCTGCCTGATTGTGGAGTAAAAGCTCCGGAAAAAGCTGTCGCTCCTTGGATACCGGGAGTGCGCCACCCCGACACACAGCAATCCTGCCAAGGCTATCACCGACCACCGACATCATGGATATAAGGCGAAGCCTGCCAAGCACATCTGAACAATGGCACACGTAATCCAGGTTTGCAAGTGCGGATCAAGGCGTGGCAGGCACGCATGTCGACCAGGCCCTGCTAACGCGCTTGTAGCAGAGTTGTCCTGGTTTGAGCCTCGCCCTTCCACAAATTGGATGAACATCGTGCCTGTTGGCTGCTCAACGACATGCACTCATGCAGTTTCAAGCGTTGGTGAAAAGCGAAAACTCATCCCTATTACTTCTCTGCCCTTTTCAACACTCCAAAAAGCATCAGCATATTAGACCTTGGCATTTACGAAACACATCACGAACTTTCATGTCAGTCGAAACTGTCAGGACATGGGGGCCAGAATTTTGCCGGAAACAAACAAGATTCTCCGATATGTTGCGCTCCCAAAGAGCACTCCCCCCAAAGCAATCTCTGCAGCAACCTTGGTTTTGCAAGATCATTTGCCCTTGATGCATGTCTGAGTCTCGGTGAGAGCGCTCATGCTTGCGACAACAGACATGTCAAACAACAACCAGAGTAGCATGAAGAACATCATGGCGGTTTCAATTGGGAGGAAATAACCAAATTTGAAAAATTTTGGCAAAACTTGCCCGTTTGAAAAGTTTTTCGATCAAACTAACTTCCTACACGCTAAAGCTGTACTACATGCTAAGATTGAAGGGTTCTTCTTGAGCCCAAACAGAACACGAAAAACTACACAAGGATAAAATGAGGAACATCAAAATTGATCCTCATAACTGTCAAAATCACCTCAACAAAACAAGAATCAAAACTTCACAAATGCAACAGACATGTAAACGCAATCACTCGAACAGTTCCTTCATTTGGACGAACGGCCGCACAGATCCGCACAGGTGCATCTGACATGTCCGGGTCCGGGCTGTGAACTTGACCCCCGTCCAAAGGCCGATAAAGTCTCGAGAAGCTTTCAACTTCCAAGAACTTTGAGAGAGCAATAATCTACAGGGTGGGAATAGGTGGGACAACAAAGATTCTAAACTCTTACTGGAGAGAGCACTTTCTGGGGAGGGCGTTCCAGCTCTGCACTCTATGGTGGCTACAGGCCTTGTTTCGAGTCATGTTCGAGAATTCGGCAATTTGAAGGGCTGCAGATTACGCGGCCTCGGAGCCGCAGCTTGCGGAGTCTGAGGGGCCGGAAAATGCTTGCAAACAGGGCGCGCGCAGGCTCGGAAGCTGTTGGGAAGCGGCGGTCGGCGTCGGAGCTGTTGTGAAAACCTGCGAGCTCGAGAGCTGCGAGCCCGAGCGCTGCGAGCCCGAGAGCCGCGAACAGGCCTGAAGCTGTTAGGACTTGCGGCGGTGAGCCTCGGAGCCGTCAAAAGCGTCAAATCTGTCAAACTGCATATCTGGCCCATTTATGTGCTCGCCGAGCCCGGTTTGACAGATATGACAAATTTTGACACTGGCGAGCCCTAGAGCCGAAGAGCCCGAGAGCTGCGGCACGAGAGTTGCGAGGTCGAGAGCGGCCTGCGAGCAGCTTAGAAGAGGAGTGCGTGCTGCCTGCAAGCTGACATCTCAGCAGTTTGCAGCTGACTGCAGGGAGGGCCCCCACAAGGCCGGTTTGAATGCTTTTTGCAAGCATTTTTATAGTCCCCGAAATTCCGTGAGCTACGGGTCTTAGGCCGCAGAATCGACAGCGCTCCGAAGTGCGTGATTCTCGAGCATGAGCCGAAACAAGGCCTGTAGCTGACGTAAAGTGGAAATTGGGAGCACCCCCGCCCCCTCCCCATGCAGAGAGAAAAATCTTAGTTACCCGTTCGGCCGCGCATCTGGCACCGGGACCTCCAAGGATGCTAACTCTTCTTTTGTTTCATCGGAGCAGCGCCGGAAGGCCGTGAGCGTGCACGCCGCAATCGCCCACATATGCCCTTCGTGTGGCTCGACTTCGTGGTACCGGCGCGCGTCGAAGGACACCGGCTTGTCGTGCACGTCGAGCCATGAGCCACGAAGCTGATGAACTTTGTTTTTCATGACGACTTCGCGGCGAGGTGCGCTGGTCGTCTTCGATCCACACCCTGCCTCCAGTGAAGCAGCCGAGTGTAATTACATGATTCGGCATGCCAATCGTGACGTAGGAAAAGATAGAGCGGGTACCATATCAAAGTATAGTAAAGGGGGAAAAAGCAGAGATCATTTGTTTACGTCATCGCCGACTCGAAACACTGATGGAAATATGGATGTTGCTTCAGAGGACGACACGGGGATCTTCTCGCGAACACACAATTGGACATAGATCAGACTACAGGATATAAAATACATCCCCATGTTGAACGTGATTATGTTGAAACACTGGGCACCATGCATCGCTTCAACTCCACGGAGCGAAAAATCTAAACAGAAAGGTAAAATTTGGTGATGCACGGTGTGACTGTCTGCAGGCTGTCTAGGACTAGGCTGTGTGGAAGGTGCTCATCCGCGGATAAACAAGCCAACCAACATCCCACCTAAGCTCAACGAGACCATTCAAAGGATCGCCTGTAATCTGCAACCTGAGCATGTGATCATGAGCACACACACACACACTCAAACGGACCGTGTTGAAGCTGTTCCAGGCGAAACAGTCTGTTGGACGCCAACATGACACTGGGTCAGGACGTCCTACTCACGGAGGATCTTTTGCCTGTTTAGTGGACCGTTAGCGATGGCTCGAATTTGCCTTACACAGAAGACTTCGTTACTCAACAGACCATATGTCATGGCAGGAAGCGGCGCTGCGCCAAAACCAATTGACCCAACCGTGAAGGGTCCCAGATCCGGACGGGCTTGCCCCAGCGCACGATTGGCAGGCAGCAAGTTAGCCGGCATCGGTGACGGAGGCCCACACGGGCTCTTGATGCGCCGAGGTTGACCCGACGCTATGGCGCTGGGCGCGGCGGTTCATGTGCGCGGAAGGCGTGAGGTACTCTGCTGGCTGGCGGAACAAACCGTGGTTAACTCACGTAAAAAAATTCAGGGGAGTGGACCTAGCTTTCCGGAAAAACAAAAACATTTTTTTTAGTTCACAAAGACTCACCGCTTGCGGGCAACAAGCCACCTTTGGTCCGTTTTGCCAAGACTCTACGGGGGATAAAGCTTTGACAAGAACTTCGGAACCCGCACTGTAGGCTTGGTTCAATCCCCTTGACATGGCTGCACACACTTCACAACGCTTTCGCTGGGCGCGTCGGCTTTCCCCAAAATCTTCTTCTTGATTGGGCGCACGGCAACTAAAAATCCGGGCCTGCAACACGCTTAAATATCTTCGCTGTTCAAAGCCCAAGGCTGCCAAAAGCTTTCTAGCAAACGACTCTGCACAACTGGTTAGGAACTGACACGACGGGGCCTCCGCCCTCTGCTGCGACTAGTGCTGTCACAAAGGTGAGGGGCAGACCAGAAGCCTAAGCAAGCCTAAACCCCAAAAGCAAAACGTTCTGCACACCCGCCGACTGCCACCACGCACGAGCTGCACACAGACGAGCTCGCCAGGCTCATCAACAAGACGCCTTCGCGGAGCCCCGCAGCGCTTGGTGCATTCTGGGCAAATGGATGTAAGGAGGCATCTTGAGGGGAACTGAGACTAAAGGACATTTTAACACTACACCTCTCCTGGCCGGCACGATTGCACCGTGTGCAGGTTAGCTACAACTGCCCTGCACATTTCGCACATGGCGCTTTTCTTTTTTTGAAGTGGGCCTCTTTACTACGTCAGCAGCTCAGTAGGCCGGTCTTGTGGGTTGAGTCGGAAGTGAAACATAGCTAGAGCAAACAAACCACGGCAGAACAAACACCGCCAGCAGCGCGAAACAGCCAAACAACGACAAATCAAAAGACGTCCTAATCCTAAGGGTGAAACAGGCCCCTCTCAGTTCACGACGAAGACGAAGTAGAGGACCCCGGCAGCCAATGCATGGCAGGCAAGTGCGTCACGGTAGTGAGGTGGGAGGAGTCCTTCATGACCAATTAGAAGGGGCGGGGATTAACCCTATCTCCGACCGGCCAACCCTCACTCAGTCCCTTCCACAGCAGGCCGCAGCACGTTGTGAGTTCATCAGTGTCGATGGCTGTGCTTTCCCTCTTCGCCCCGGTGCCCTTGGTGGGCTCGGCGATGGCGAGGGCCTGCTGCCCCTCGAGTGTCCTTCGCCCATAGCTGCATTTGGTTCGCCCTGCGCAGGATTCGAGACATGCGCCCGCCCCAGGTCAGATGAGGCAGCCCCCCCTGCTTCCGAGGCTTTCGCTGGGTGAAGGGGGCGTAGGATTCGAGACATTCGCCCGCTCCAAGTCTAAAAGTTTAAAGGCTAATCTCAACCTTTCTAGAACACAGGTTCTCAGCGCTCTTTTCCTCTCACTCGCGACTTTCACGAGGGGTGCGGTTTGAGCCTATACATAGCGTGAAACATGTCGGTCATGAAAAGTGAACTCTTTGTTACGCCCTCTTTGAAACTCGTTGGGTGAAACGACTTTCAAACACATTCTCACTTTTCTCCCATGCTCCTTTGAGCTGTTCCACACCTTTCTCGCATTCCTCATTAGGCTCGTTGGTTTTGTGTGGATCATCGGGATCATCTGGAGTAACTGCACACATTTCTCGCATGTGGCCTCTGCATCACTCCATCACCTCATGCCTTGAAACACATTTTAAACACATGCATTCGTTTGTGAAACGTGTCGTTAGCTTCGTTGTGAGACGTGTCGTTGGCTTTGGTGAAACTCTGATTCGAGCTGAAAAGCTCAGGCCTGTTGGCCTCGCTGGGCTCTTCGCCCTCATGACCTTATGGTCCCCTTCTTGACCCTTCAAAGGTCCTCATTCTGAATCTCGGCTGCTGGGGCCTTTGCCTTCTTCTTTGTCTTCGTCTCCTTTTTCTCCTTCTTGGACTTTCTCTCCTTCTTTTCCTTCTTCGCTTTTCCTTCCTTCTTCTCCTTCTTGCCAGACTTCTTCTTCTTGGCTGCCTTCAGCGCTTGCTCCTTCTCGATGCTTTCCTTTGCTGCTTTGGCCTTTGCCATCTTCGCCTTCCGCTCGTCTTCCAACTCCGGAAAGCTCCACTTGATCTTCACTTCATCTTCTTTCTTCGCTTTTTCAAGCTCTTCCTTTGGCAATCCTTCCGGATCCTTTGCTTCGATGTCGACCATCTCGCTTTCTTTGTTTCCAGCATCGTCGTCATCTTCCACTTCTTCGATCACAGGGCCTTCACCCTTGGCTTTGGCCTTCGCCTCAGGCTTCTCATCCTCAACCTTACGTTTTGTAGTCGTCGGCTCGGCCCCCCATTTGGGGTTTGGGGCCTTTGGCACACTTTGGCCCATTTCCATCTCCTTGACTTTGGCCAGTCGCTGCTTTTCTCGTTCTCCAGCTTTCCAGTTCCCGCAGCGCTGGTAGGTATGGTTACCCCAGCCGCACATCTTGGTCCTGGGGTCCTCCTTCGAGGTCAGGAAGCAGCGCTTGCAAAACAAACTCGAACCGGCTGCGATTCGGTCTTCTCTTGTCGGTACGACTCCGCCTAGGTCCAGCGCTTGCTGGGCCATGGCCTCACAGTTCATTGCCTTGTGGGTCGTTTCCCCACAGAAAAAGCAACTGTGCTGCTTCCTTGGGTCCCATCTTGGGCTCTCGGCGGTCCTTTGCTTCTTTTGCTCGGGCTCGCTCTTTCTCAAAGGCGACGGCACTCTCTTGGGCATTGCTTTCGTTTTGGGCTGCATTGTCACGCCCTTCTTCTCGCTTGCATTGCCCATTGGCTCTTTGCCCATCGGCTCAGCTTCACTTTCGGCCTCTCTTTTCTTCTTGATCAAGTCAAGAGAGAAACTCGCTCTCTCTTCTTCTCGAAAAGCCTTCCAAACTCAGGTCGCTCGTCGACCAGTGCCTTCATCACTTCGCCGGCCGTTCGCATCATTACCGCGACGCCCTTGACCACGTCTTTTGAAATTTGGAAGTCTTTCACTTCCTCCGTTGCCTCTTGGAACTCCTTCTCGGCTTCTTCCATCTCTTTCTTGAGGCCATCTGCCTCCTTTAGGCTTTCAGCGATCTCCTCCTTCTTCTTCTCAAACTTCTTTCTCGCTCCATCAAGCCTTTGCTCAATCTCATCCCTGTCACCGTGGATGATCTCTTCGCTGTCACGGAGGTCGGTGAGCAAGTCCATTGCTTCGGTTCCCCATTTTTCGACTTGGCTCCCGAAACTGTCCGGTAGCTGCTCCGTCGGCTGCTTCATTCTTGTCTGAAAATCGTCGTAGATTTGCTTCAACCTTTCGCTTCTCACGAAATCCATATTCAGGGCATTTTCTCCTTCGAGAATCATTCGATTTTCCTCGTCAAGCAGACTTCTTCTGACAAAAGGATGTAATCCTCAGCCTTGTGGCCTTCTCCCTCTTTGGGCTTTTCGGCCTCCTTGGGCCCTTCTTCTTCTGACGAACTTGAGTAGTAACTCTCCGAGTAGCTTTCGGCCTTTTCGGATGACGCCTTCTGCTCATCCTCGCTCCCTTTCTCTTCTTCTTTTTCACCTTCAGGAGCTTCACTTTCTTCCTTCTTCTCAGGAGCATTCTCCTGGAGCAAATTCTCCCTTCGAGCCATTGCTCCTTCTCTCATTTCCGCGAGCTCTTCAACCCGCTGCTCCATCACGTTGGAATGCTCTTCAGCCATTCCTTCTTTTCTTCTTTCCTTTTCTACTCTCAAAAGCTTGATCCGCAAAACGGCTGCGACGGGAATCAAGTAACAACTTACGCATCCTATCAACACAATCAAAATCTTCATGCACAGCGTTGATCTTTCATTGTCTCCAATTTCTTCTTCTTCGCTGAACTTCTTCGCTTCACCTAAGGCTACAAGAACAGCCATGGTGACGGCTTGGATGATCTTTGTCAACTTCTCCTCGCTCACTTTCCGGCCATTGCCGGCTCGGCCATTGCCGTTCAATCTTCTCACTTGGCCATTGCCTGCAATTTCTTCTTGATCAGCAAACTCTCCTACATATCCAAGGCTTGCCATGTACTTCCTGATCTTGTCTTTGCTCAAGCTCTTTGTTCCCAGATCAGCTGGATTGTCCTTTCCTTTGATCGCCTTGATGATCAATCTCGGAATACTCTGGATCCATAACAGATCAACGTCGAGATGACGGGCTTTCCCCAGTCCTTTTCTCGCAATGAACTGCCTTGAGCTGCTTGAGTCTGAGTACATCACCATCTTCGGCTCTTTGCCAAGGATTCTCGTCAACAGTGCCTTCAGAAACACTCCTTCGGAAAGTATTGACGTTGCGGCGATAGTTTCCGCTTCGCATGAGCTTAGAGCTATGCTCTTCTGCCGCTTGCTCTGAAAATGAATAAGATTTCCATTCAGCATGATCGCTCCACACGACACGCTCTGCCTCGACTCTCTGTCGGCTGCCCAATCAGAATCCGTCACTATCTCCAACAGTGACTCTTGCTCATAGACAGTTCTCTCAACTTCTTCTTCCTTTCTCTCATTTCGCTCTTCGATGAAACTTCTTCCTGGATAACTCTTCTTGTGTATCAGCGACACGTCGGGTGTACCTGTCAGATACTTCGCAGCATGCCTTGGCAGTTCCATGTCTGCCTCAACAGGCGATGCTAGCTTCGTCGAAAGTTTCTTCAGCACATACATCAGATCGGGCCTCTCTGGTGCTAGGTACAACAGTATACCTACACCCTTCCTGTACGTGTGGTGATCTTCTTCCCATTCCTCCTTTCTTCGCTTGCATTGCTCTTCCGTTGTCTGCCGGGCATGGCAACTTCTTCGGATACGACTGATCCAACTCCAATGCCTCGACCAACCCTTCGATGTTCTTCGAGTTCATCGTTATCTCAACGTCTCCGTCGTTCACGGCGCTGAAACCTCTCTTCAGCTCATTGAACCTTCGTGTACACTCAATGGTCCTTCGACCTTGATCTTCAGTTTCTTCTTTCTCAAGAACTCGATTAATTCCTGGAACCCTTCCTTCGTTGCGTACAATTCCACATCATGTGACAACACCACCATTCCAGCTTTTCCTTTTTCTGGTCTTCTGTGAACAAAGCAGGTAGTCCTTTGTCAGACTTCAACCCATACTCTTCGAGGTATCCTTTCAACTTGTTGAACCATGCGCTTGACCCTATCCGTTGCCCTGGCAACGTGAATCCGAGTTTGTAGTGCCTTCCGTCGACTTCGACGACTGTTGACTCTTTCTACCATCAAGTAGGCATCTCCTACGTCGATGCTTCCAAGTATGTGGTCGTTCGACAACACAAACATTGCTGAGAGCAACTGCTCGCAACTTCCATTGGAGAAAATAGCGCGCAATGTCCGTTGACCCTTAAAACTCGCGGGCAACTAACCGGCCACGCCGTTGCCATTCATTGTCTCGATGCCTCCAATCGTAAACAACTTTGGGTTGAGAGGTACGACGTAACGTTGACCTTTGCCAGCTCATCATCCAACTTGGAGGTCCATCTTCGAACTTGTTTGACCACTTCGGCATACTTTCTTCGAACTCTTCATCATCTTCAAGTTCTGAGCTTCTGTCTTCTTCAGAATCTTCGAACTCGACTTCGAATCCTTCAAACTCATCCAACTCGACCTCTTCGTTATCGTGATGCTTCGGCAAATCCTTCCTGAGGAATGATGCAACTTCTTGCACACTTCTTGTGGCCATTATCCTTCTCACCGTTCCTGAGGGTTCTCCTCTTTGGATCTTCAGGTCGTTCTTCAACTTGTCCACTTTCTTCGTCGACTCTCGGCCTTGTAGCTTCAGGCTCTTCGGCGCTTCAGAAATTCTTTGGCTTTCGCTGAGATCTTCATCGTTGTCATCATTATCACTTGTCGGCGGATCAGACGCCATTGCGCTTAGTCTCTTTTTTCGACGCTGTCGAGCTTTGCTGCGGCGTCTCCAGCCAACTGCTGGAGTTCTTGGCACTTGTTCTAGCTTCTTCGATTGACGCTACTTCGATTTCACTTGATGGCGAGAGCCTCTTTGGCTTCGTCAACTCCAAGTTCCTTCATCTTGATTGAAGCCACAGCTTCCTTCAGTCTCTGCCAAATTTGAGCTTTCCTTCCTGTCCTACCTTGAGGAACTCGCAAGCATTCTCAGTTGCTTTAGTAATAGTACTCGCTGATGTCAGCTCGATTCCTTCGATCTTCATTCTCTCATCCCATTGCTTCTCCAAGTTTCGGAAGTTGTTCTTCAACCTTCTTCCGTAAACTCCATTTCTTCCCAGACTATTTTTGCTCTTCTTATATCTTGTTTTCAGCGTTGTTCTGTACTTGAACGATTCTCCTTCGTCTCTTCCAAGGCTGTACGTTGTGTTCACGTCCCAGTCGTCTTCGCGAGAATAGCTTAACGGTAAGACATGGCAGTCTGCCCATTGTCTGGGACAACTTCGATCAGGTCTTCATACCCTGGTAACCAAACCGTTCGTACTCGATCCTTACTTGCTTCTTAGAAACTTGGACTTGGGCTTGGATTCTCAATCGATTCCTGTCTGACTTCTTGTTCTTGAGCACTTGGATTTGAGCTTGGATTCTTAACCGATTCCTGTTTGACTTCTACTTGATTTTCTTCATACCACCCTGGCACTCGTCCAGCTCGTTCAGCTCTTCATCTTCTTGGCTTATGTCGAACACTTGAACTTCTTTCGTCTTACCATTCTGGCGAGGGCTTGTTTCCCCATTCTTGAAACATCTCGATCAGATAGATCTACGATCTCTTCATTGTCTTCTTCGTCGACTTCCTCGATTCTTGTCATTGACCTTTCATTGACTCTTCTCACTTGTTCACTCCCTTTTGCAGCTTGCGCAACTCGCACTTGCGATTGTCTTGACTTCGTACTGACTTGGATGTACTAGTGCTTGACTGTGATGGTGCATTCCACACATCACTTGACCATTCTTGATCTTGGCCAATCTTCTTCGCCTTCGCACTTGTCGCATCTTTCCTTTCGACTTCTCTCCTTTTCCGAGTCCTTTCCTCCTTTCGCTGACGTCCAGTATTCTGACGCGAAGTGACCACACTTTCCACATTTGTAGCATTCCACTCCAGATCTTGATCCTTTTCCACCTAAACCTTTTCCTTGACTTCCGTAGCCACCACTTGCCTCACAGATTTTCCTCGTCCTTTGCCACGACCTTTGCCGCGGCCTCTTCCTCTTCCGCCTTTTCCTTTCCATTCCTTCCTTTTCCTTTCCTTTCTCGAACTTTTCTTTCCTTTGTCTTTCTTTTTCCTTTTAGACGATCGATCTCCATTGGGATCGGTCCTTGGTACTTCTTGGAACTTGTTCCTGCAGCCTGAACGCTAAATGACCCAAAATGTTCTCAGCAGACCACTTTGGTTGCTTCTCTCGGACTGTAGCAGCTTCGTTCTCAAATCATTGCAACTTGTCTTCTCATTGATTCCGACCATGATGTGCTGCTTCTTTAGGTTGTCATCGTACTTCGTTGTCGATAACTTCTCGTATTCATTGACCAGCTTCTCGAACGTGAGGACATAATCCATCAGGCTAGCTCCCTTTGCCATTGCAGGAATCCTACCAAGTCTTGGGCCATTGTCAAACTTCGAGATCTAGATGATGGCTCGAGCTCCATTGTGAGTCGCCTCCAGACTTCAAATCCATCCATGTTGTTGCTCAAGACGGAGTACAGCTTCGTTCCTCTTATCTTTCGTCCTTCATTCGCTGCATAAAATTCATCGATGTCGATGTCCAGTGCATCCGTTGATGCTTCGGCTTTCTTAAGTCTGCCAGGAACTCACAGTCCATGAATGCTAGAAAATTCTTTAAAGGCGAAACTCCAGTCTCCATTGAGAGACTTCTTCGGGTTGAAACACTTCTGGCGGCTTTAAGATCTTTCCTAAACGGGACACCTGAGGGTTGCATCCTTGACGCTCCTTCACCTTCCAAACTTCTTGGGAAGTTTCTGCATGGCTGGCTGCCTCAGTCAAGCCTTTCTCTACTATTGGTTTGATTTAGCAAGTCGTCCAGACTCAAGGCCTTCAGATTTCTCCCGTCGTGATAACGTCCACCGAAAAACGAACTTCTTCTTTTGCTCCTGCTTCTCTTCTTTCTTCTTCCCAGCCCGTTGGCTGGCTGCCAGCCCTTCGGCTGGGCTTCTTTCCTTGGATATGCTTCTTCAGCTGCTGGTCTTTGCCAACAGCTCCGCGACCACAAAAGTTTAAGGCTACTCGCAACTTTTTCGGTGCGGCAACATGTCGAGCACAAAAAAGCGAACTCTTTATCAAAGTCATATGAGCTTCGCCTTGGCATTCTCTTTACTTGGGTGAAGTGTGGAAGGGTGTGACGTGGTCTAATCCAACACAGGCATGGAAGTCACAATCCTTCTCCAACAAAAATTTGGCTTGAAACCAAATTCAAGGTTTACAGCCAATGTGCCTGCTTGAGCACAAGCCAAAATGTCTGTGGAAGAAATTTGGGGTGCGCATTGAATAGAGGCCTGCTTAAAGCAGCTTTACACAAGCAAACGCGCAGCTACAATGAGAAACTGTCACCGCTTTGCATGGTAAAATGTATCGTCCACCCAGTAGCCAATGGAAGCTTTTGCTGTTATCAACACCTGCCAGCGCAGAATGCACTGAAGCATGGAAGGTGGCTCTTTTAAGATGTCCAATCGGTGCTGCCACACTTTAGACCATGATTCAGCCAATATGGCCTGAACCTTCCCCACCGTCTTAACCCAGTCTTGGAAGCTCCAATCACTGTTGGCACGGATTGATACGGGTGAGAACAATGTAAACTCTGCCGCTAGCTTGGGTCTTACTGAATGCCGCTGCTTGATTTCCGCGTTGTTGGAAAGGTGGCGCTGGTTGAAGTGAACACATTTCAAACCAGGGTCTGGGTTGAAGCTCAGTCCTCTGGGAATAAGCACTTGAACTTGGAGATCCAGGCGCTGCAGAGAAGAGAAGATAAGTCAGAGCTTCTGAGAGAGCTGTTAGACAAGTCCAAGTGTGCCGTGCTAACATCGCCCAGTGCCTGCTCCAGAAGTGCTTTGGAGGGCAAAGCGATTTACAGGCCTTCAGCCGCCCAGCTGCAACACGGCATCTGGGCCGGCGACAGTGCAGAAATGGAAGAACAGGAACCTTCTCCTGCTGGCGTGGATCCATGCCGAGTTTCGCGCCCGGAGGGCCTTCGCACGCCCAAATGGAAGGTGCATAATTTGGAGTCCTGACAGCATTCCAGGGATTTCCTTTGTTTTGGCACTCTAGGAGCTTGGCATGACCCAAGCTCGACCTTTGCGGAGAAGAGCCAGTGTTGCACGCGTGTCTGTTTGAAGAGTGGGAGAGTGCAGTCGGGCTCCTCCAGGCCATGAACCATGTCCTTGTTTGTTGCTCAGGTCCTACGAAAATCGTTTCGACTTCCACATGGACGAGAATATGATGATGGCTTCCGTTGTGCATCGTCCAGGTTGGGAAGTTTTGACAGCATGCCGATTCAGTGGCCGGCATCTGTCATGGATGGGCCTTTTGGTGTTGGGTTTTGGCTGGGGGGTGGAAGGCTCTGAGAATTTGTTAAGACCTTTACCTGAGCCCCAATTTGCCATTCCTGAGCACCGATTTCGCCCCACGCCTACGTCTGTTGTTAGAAAGTTTCGGCCGCAACCAGTGATGAAAAGCGTGGACAAGGACAGGATGAAAGCCATTGCATTGTGGCAGTACATTGTTGTTACTGCGGCTAGTGCGTCCACTCTGGCGAGGATGCTGGAGGCGGCTAGCTCTGAAGATGAGGTATCAGCCACGTTACAGGACACCTTTGCCAAGAAAGCCACTTCGACTTTGAAATCGAGGGCAGGTTCAGTGCTGCTCTTCATCAGGTGGGGCGTCGCGACGTTTGGAGAATGTCAACTGTTCCCCTTGATAGAGCTGCAACTGTATAGGTATGTCACTTTCCTCAGATTGAATGCTGCTCCGCCTTCCAGAGCTGAAAGGTTCGTACAGGCTGTGAGATTTTCCTTCACTCTGCTGGGCGGTGATGGTACGCTATCTTCGATTTCTGCCAGGGTGACTGGAGCGACTTCTGAAGGAATCGACCGCAAACCTCTCAGGAAGAAGCTGCCTTTTAGCAGACAACAACTGCTCAGGTTGGAAGCTTTGGCCTGCGGGGAACCCTCACACATTGCAATATTTGCTGGATTTATTTGCCTTCTCGTGTATGCCAGGTTGAGATTTTCCGATGCACAAATGGCTTATGATGAGCCCACGGTGCAGGAAGGTGAAAACTACAACCTGCTGGAGATGCAACTCAGATTGATTCCGGTATTCGCAATCAGCCCGGGGCTGATTGAAGAGTGCTGGGCGACGAAGTGGCTGCAGAACAGAAGAACCATGGGTCTTCATGCCTCTGAAAGCGAACCATTGATGAGGTGCCCGATCCTTGGGAACGAGTTCTCTCCCAAGAAGCTAGCGAGTGCAGATGCCTGCATTTGGTTGAGAGAAATTCTCTCGGATGTAACCACCACAAACGATTTGCAAGATGTGGGCACACACTCCAGCAAGGCTACAATCTTGAGCTGGCTGTCCAAATCGAGTGCAGATCGGGAAATGTGCAGACGGGCCGGGTATCACGTCGGGAAAGATGGGAAGAGCGAGCTGGAATACGCCCACGACGCTGCGGCTCCAATGGTCAACAGAATCGCACTGACAATGGCCATGGTGAGGCTTCAACTGTTTCTTCCTGATCAACCGAGGTTGCAGAGGTGGAGCCAATGCAGTGACTTCGAATCAGCAGTGCCGTTGGTAGGTTGGAAAGCACAAGAGCCTCCACACAAAAGACCGAAGGCGAAGAACCCGAGCACCGTTGGGTCCCTGCTCAGATGCACATCATCTGAATCGGGGTCTTCGTCCAGTGAGACCGACAGTACAGGCTCGTCAGATGAAGAGAATGAAGTGGACCAAGCCGAGGTACACGCGGATTCGAACACACAGGTTGACAATTTCGAGGACGGGTATGTGTACTACAAGCACGCCGCGAGATGCACGGTCCACAGGGCAGTCAACAACAATGATGACGACGCAGTGGTGTTCGTTTGTGGTCGACTGGCTTCGATGGCCCACCGGGAGATAGGGAAGAGACCGGGAGTGATCTTGAACCCCTGTGCATCATGTTTCAAGGGGGACATGCCACAAGAGCCTCCTGCCTGACTGCATATTTCCACGAGCCCGGGGCGACGTGGAAAATAACACCAGCTGGGCTGTGTGTAACGCACGCGAGTGTGAGAGAATATCATAAGTTGCGCTAGTGAAACACGAGCACGATTTTGATGTGGAAATTTGTGCGTGCAAAACACATGCAGTATCTGCAGCACCCTGGTTCGAGAAAGGAACACAGAGCGCGCAGACCCAGGCAGACCCATATACTCGAACCTTGGGGTTGGTCTTGGAGGTAACCAAATCTGTGTTAAGGGAACAGGATTGTGGTTTCCACTCCTGTGTCGGGTTGCCCTTTTTGACCATTGGAAAAGTTCTCCTGAAGATCGGGATTTGTCTTGAGTCCAGCTGGTCGAGCTTGAGTTCGGTGCTGGCGGGTCGCAGACTTGGAATGTCTTACGTGGACTCGAAGGCGATCTTCAAACAAAGATGTGAAGCAGTGCAATTGCCCCAGGAAGTTGTGGAGAAATTGGAGTTGAGGGGTTGGGCAACCTTTGCGAGCTTGGCTCACGCACCGAAAGCGACGCCGGGCCAAGCGAATGCTGATGTTGCGATTCAAGACATGATAGACGCTGTCCTGGGCACTACGTTGGGGGCTCACGAAGCGAGTCTCAGGAGGTTGCACTGGGAAGCGTGGACTTTGACAGCAGCTGATCTCAAACGCAAGGTGGACGGTTCCGACGAAGCCGCGGCTCGCATATTACCCGTAGCGGAGATTTGGGCCAGGTTGAACGTTTTGTCCAAGAAGATATCGCCGCTGAGATTGCAAGGGGTTCTGGAGCCAAGCCACGCAAGCATACACCTTTTCACGGCCATGGCTGAGGAAGGAAGACTCAGGTACATCGAATGGTCCAAGATCACCACGAGGGACCAAGAGATCAATGGGGGGACTGAGGACCCCCTCCTCAAAGCGTGGAAGCCCGACAAGCAAGGTATTGTCCGGGAGGTGGCCCAGTCCCAAAGCATACGGCTACGGATCTGGATGTTCAGAACGTCTTGAGGAGACGAGCCATATGCTATGCAGTGGCCGATTTGATGTCGTTCGAGGTGCACGAGGCGATCGTTCTCTTCTTGTTTGACGCCTACCAGAAAGTGCCCCAGGACGGCTACATGAAGGTGACCCTCACTCAGATGGCAATGTGCGACAGGGAGATCCATGTCAGGTTGAGTGAGCTTTGCAGGGAGGGATTCTCTCATGGTCGAGACGGATCGCTACCACTGGACCGTCACGTGCCGGAGGTTCTCAAAATGAGGTCAGTCGAACAGCTGGTGTTGCAACGCCTGAAGAGCAAAGGCACGGTGCCACCACCGCCAAACCCCCCAGGAACGGGGAAAAGAGCAAAGAAGCGTAAGATCAAGGAGACGGAAGCGAATGCTCAGGCAGGCAAGGGCAGGAAGGTGGACAGTGGATCCAAAGGGACCGGCAAGGCGGGCAACAACAAGACCAAAGCGCCATACATGCCAGCAGGCCTCAGAGGAGGTGTGCCTTCCGACAATCAAGGCGAGCCGTTGTGTTGGTCCTTCAATCTGGGGCACTGCAAAAATGGTGGATGTGATATTGAGAAGTGCGACAAAGGCAGACACGTCTGCTGTTTTCCTGGGTGCTTTCGCAAACATTCGTTTGTGGAGCACCACAAAAAGGAGTGACTACCGACAAAGAAATCGGACTGCGGACCCACCGCCTTGGAGGCGGTGGGCTACGCAGTTCCGGTCACAGCGCCATCGTTTTCCAAATCCGAGGAGCAGGGTGGCAACATACGATCAGCCTCCTCGGTTTGTTGTACAGTATTGAATGGTCAGACTCAGGCAGCTACTGCTGACAGTTTTGAGGTTGCGTCAGCAACAAGACGCGGTATGAATGAGCGGCAACAAGCAGTACAATCGCGAAGGGCTGATGCTGCCGCTGGCAGGGACGTACATAGGGCGCCGATGGTCGGCCCCGACAACGATACCCCTATGTCAGATGAGCAGAATCAGGTAGCGTTGGAACTTTTCGCCAACCCTCCGCACGTGACAAGACAGTTGCGGATGTTGGGGGTTCAAGCCATATCCTTCAACCGTAGACCGGATGGACACGACCCGGCAGGAGCGTGCAGATGGGATGCGTGTCAAACCGAAGACGCTCGCTTCGTCACTCACTTGGTACAGTCCGGAAGGGTTGGGTTCATGTTTCTTTGCCCTCCTCGTCTCTGTGAACTACTCGGTGGAAAAGAGCATAATCGCCACAATTGAAGCTATATGTCAGGAGGTGGCCAACAAAGAAACGCCATTCTGCATATGCACTTCTGCGACAGGGAGCCTCTTGAAGATGGCTTCGAGAATATTGAAAAACGTGCACGTCACACATGTAGATCTGTGCATGTTTGGGTGTGAGCGCAAGAGAAGAGTGGTCCTCGGCCACAATGTGGCCCCACTGCACAACCTCGGTGTGACATGCGATGGTGACCATCAGCACAGACCCTGGACTGCTGAAGCGCCGCCAGAAGCTGATCCAAGGTGGCTACCAGAGAAGTTCTGCAAAAGCCTTTGTAACATCATGACACCGCTTTTGACACGAGCCAGGCTACCCCGTCGGATGCCGACGTCGTTGGAGAGCACGAGCAAGGGGGCAAGCAGGTGGCCAGCCCTCGTACCGGAGTTCAAAGCGATCGTTCGAGCACATTCTGTAGAGCAGCGACAGAATCTTCAGGAGTGCCTTTCCGTTGTCAGTCCACTTGGCTGCCCGACAAGCCATCCAACAACCAGTGGGCAGTGACATCATGGCGTGTACCCCGGGCACAGAGCGAACAGATGTGGATGGGACAACAGGACCAAATGGGTCTCAAAACACGCCCACGGCATCCTCATTAGCTCCAGCAGGGTATGCGGCCTCCGCACCCAGCGGGAGCGAGGTCAACAGGTTCGGGGCAGAGCCTCTATCAGCTCAAGTGGGTCACGCGGACTCCGCACCCATCTGGAATGAAGGCAGTGAAGAAGGCATCTACGTCGGAGAAAAGACCCAGCAAGCCTCGACCAAGTCGGGACCACAGCGGCCACCGCGCCCGGCGTGGAGAGCAGTTGTGAGGCAGGTTTGGTGAGTGGGCAAACATTTGCTGTACCGTGGTCTAAGCAGAACCCCTGGAACAAGCGCTTCGGTGTCATCATCCATGTGACACTACATGTGGGTGTGAGCAGGAGACGTTGGACAATATACGGTGGATAGCGAAGTCCGACTTTACAGAAGTGAAAAAGTTCAGGGCGTGCCAACTGAAAAGGATGCTGCAGTTGGAGGCAGAGTGCAGAGCTGGCGAGAAAGCCCTTCACAAAGGCATGCACCCGGAAGTGGCCGCCGTGTTAGCGGGCAAGAGACTTGTTCTCTTTGGACGGTTATTGCAGTGGGCTGGCGTAGAGGACGCGGGCTTGGTGAAAGAGATGGCCGGTGGGTTCAGAATTCTAGGACATGCCGAACCTTCAGGACAGTACCCGGTGGTATATAAGCCAGCAGCCTTGATGGAAGAAGACCTGAAGATGCTCGCGCCGTGGCTAAGGAGCAAGGTGGAGGCTAAACACGATGTGCCAGATGCTGAGGTGGCGAACCATCTTTGGGATGAGGCTGAACAGCAGGCGACTGATGGGTCTGGTTGGCTATTGGGCCCTTATACTGCCGAGGAACTGGACGCAATGTATCCTGATGGGTGGGTGCCCTCCAGAAGGTTTGGGGTTGTTCAAGGCGAGAAGACCAGAGCCATCGACGACCCAAAGGCATCCATGGTAAATGCTACTTGTGGCACGTCGGATAAGCTGGTACTGCAGGACATTGATGTGGTTTGCGCGACGGCCAAGGCCTTCATGAAAGAATTGCTGGATGGTTACAGCAGGGTCGCTCCTCACATTCAAGGCAAGGCTTTGGATTTGAAGAGCGCGCCTTCAACAGAGTTGCGGGCGCCGTTCGGAAGATTATGGTCAGGTTGCTGGGATTGGTAGTGACAAACTTTTATGATGACTACTGTCAGATGGAGGTGGATGATTTGTGCGACTCTGCACAAGCGACGGCTGCGATGTTGCTGAAGTTGCTTGGGTGGAAGGTGGCTGAGGAGCACAGTAAAGCACTTCCTTTCAGCTCTTCCATATGCTCGGGGCTGAGTTCTCCTTAATTGGTGCCCCTCAAGGCAAACTGACTGTATCCAACAAAACATCCAGGATAACATCTCTCGAAGCTATGGTTGATGAGGTCTGCAGCGGGACAAGTGTGGGTGGAGCCCTCTTGGCTAGCCTGAAAGGGCGTCTGATGTATGCAGCGACCCACACGTTTGGTCGAGTGGCTCTCATGGCAGTCAAGCTCCTAAGCAAACTCCTGCGGGCTGGCGGGCCAGTTCTTTTGCAGGAACACGACAAACGGCTCATCAGGCAATGCTTCGAGATGATCAGGGATGCACGGCCTAGGGTCATACAGGTGTGCGACGTAGTGAGCCCGATCATCATCTTCACCGATGGGGCGTGCGAGCAGCAAGGAAACCTAGTCACGTATGGGGCGGTGCTGATTGACACCATGGATGGCAGCAAGCAGGTCTTCGGCGAAGAGGTCCCTCGGCAGATTCTTGAGACCTGGAAACGAGGCAACAAGGAGCAAGTGGTGGGGCAAGCCGAGATCCTGCCGGTGGTTGTTGCCAAGGTCAAATGGAAGGACATCCTAGCAAGAAGGAGGATCATCTGGTTCATTGACAATGAGTCGGCAAGATGTGCTTTGGCAGCTGGTTCTTCCCCGGTGTTGGCGTCGTTTGCGATGCTTTGCGTGAATGCTCATTTGGACGCAGGACTGGAGGCCCTTTCGTGGTTTACGCGAGTGCCATCAGCAGCCAATCTGGCCGATGATGCGTCTAGATTGGTGTTTGACAATTATGAGAAAGAATATGTCAGATGCACGCTGAACTGGTCCGAACCTGCATTGAAAGAAGTTCTCAAAGCTTGCTGTGCGGTTTGAGCTCGGACGTACCTCATCGGTTTAGTGGGAAGTTGACACGAGGTACCGGGTGCCGAGTGTTGAGGAAGGAGGCTGCGCTGGGTGCAGCGTGCTTCGTTTCTCACCCACTAGTTGTGAGCCTACTCTCGAGAGGAGAAACCATAGTGTTTGGGTCTCGAAAGCGAAAGGCTATCGATGATGAGGAAATGTCGCCGAGATCGAGCCAGTGTTAAAAAGAAGCGAGCACAAGAGCGTTGCAATGAGTAGAGTTTGTTTGTGGCTGTATTGGGGGGGGGAAAACGAGCAGTTGCTGACAATAAGATACATTTCACCATGCGAAGCGGTGATAGTTTCTTATTGTTGTGGCTGCGCGTTTGCTTGTGTAAAAGCTGCTTTAAGCAGGCCTTTTTCACATGCGTTCCCCCCCCCCCCCCCCCCAATCTCCTTCTTGCTTTGCGCGGGTGCAGATGTGTAGGCCAAAGTTATTTTGTTTTGAAAAGGACAGGTTGCGTGGTGAGTTGTCATGCAATACACGTTGGATGAATCATATGTGTTTCTTCGGCAGTCGGTGCTCAAGCAGGCACCGAACAATTGGCTGTGGACCAATTCTTGGAATTGGTCTCGAGCCAAATTTTTGTAACCCACCCACCCACCCGGGGGAAGTTGACACGAGGTACCGGGTGCCGAGCGTTGAGGAAGGAGGCTGCACTGGGTGCAGCGTGCTTCGTTTCCCACCCACTAGTTGTGAGCCCACTCTCGAGAGGAGATCGAAACCATAGTGTTTGGGTCTCGAAAGCGAAAGGCTATCGATGATGAGGAAATGTCGCCGAGATCGAGCCAGTGTTAAAAAGAAGCGAGCACAAGAGCGTTGCAATGAGTAGAGTTTGTTTGTGGCTGTATTGGGGGGGGGGAAAACGAGCAGTTGCTGACAATAATTAGACTCGCCACAAAGTGTGCCAACTCGTATGGCCTCTCGGGCCTGGAGATGGAGGCGCTTGTGGACCCTGATGCCAAGCCAGTGCGCAAAAAACGGCCCTTGCTGCTGTCGGTTCGTGGAAATGCGTCGCATGCCCTCCTGCTCGAATTTCAGGCAGACAAGCCGACAAGCCTGGGCCGAAGCTATTCCCTTGTCCTCACGCACCCCCAAGCCTGTGCTGGACAAGGACTTCTGGACGCGTCTCTGGAGAGGCCTTGCCGCCGGGTGGCACGGGACGGACTCCCGCCGGCACGAAAGGAGGAGCACCCACTTTCAGGTCCTTCGCGGGAAGGCAAGGACTGTGCAACGGGGTAGACTGCCCCGTGGCAGGGGCGGTCACCTTGTTTTCTCCTGTTGGGGAACCGGAACATCCAGGCTCCTCGTCAATCCTCCGCAGGTTTTTTGATGTCATCACCACCGCGTGCTCCACCGGGCCCACCTTTGGTGTCTGCGTCTTTGTCACGTGCAAGGCGTCAGGCTTTCTTCTTTACGATGGGGAGGCAGGTTTTGCGCGCGCCACGTCCTCGCTCACCAGAGGTTTGGGTCCTTTGATCATCCTCGCACCAGCCTATGGAGACGGGCTAGGCGCCTGCTTTCAAATGGCTGCATGTGCGACGCGGGGCCACATCAATGGCAACGAGTATATCAGGGCCCAGGCCAGCCTTTGGAGCATCGAAGGAACAGGAATTGCCAAGGCTTTGCACAAGCAAGCCTTCAAGGAGAGAAACGTTGCGTCTATCCTCATCCCCAGCGCTCCGTGGGTGTGTCTCTCTTCCATCGGCCTTCCCTAAATCAAATGCATGGGCTGTCCGAGCCACGCGGCCTCCATGGAAAGATGTGTTATTCCGGACCTGTGGCAAGAAAGCTAAGGCAATGAGCCTTATTTTCGATCGGCCAACTGTCGTGGGACCTTGTCACAATTGCAAGCCCGAGGGATCGGCCTGTGATGGCGCAGTCCATACGCCACTTGACCCATTCGTGATCTTGGCTCCAGTCCTCTTCGCCTTCGCGCACTTGTCGCATCTTTCCTTTTGACTTTCCGCCTTTTCCTGAGTCCTTTCCTCCTTTCGCTGGTGCCCAACATTCTGACGCGAAGTGACCATACTTTCCACATTTGTAGCATTCCACTCCACACCTTGATCCTTTTCCACCTGAACCTTTTCCTTGACTTCCGTAGCCACCATTCTCCACTTGCCTCACAGACTTTCCTCGTCCTTTGCCACGACCTTTGCCGCGGCTTCTTCCTCTTCCGCCTTTCCTTTCCTTTCCTTTTCCTTTTCCTTTGTCGAACTTTCCTTTTCCTTTTCCCTTTACTTTTCCTTTCTCATACTTTCCTTTTCCTTTTAGCCGATCGATCTCCATTGGGATCGGTCCTTGATACTCCTTGGAGCTTGAACTTGTTCCTGGGGCCTGAACGCTCAATGATCCCAAGATGTTCTCAGCAGACCACGTTTGGTTGCTTCTCTCGTACTGTAGCAGCTTCGTTCTCAAATCGTTGTAACTTGTCTTCTCGGTGATTCCTACCATGATGTGCTGCTTCAGATTCTGAGGAATGCCCTTCAGCAACGTTCCGATCTTCAAGTTGCCATCGTACTTCGTTGTCGATAACTTCTCGTACTCGTTGACCAACTTCTCAAACGTGAGGACATAATCCATCAGGCTAGCTCCCTTTGCCATTGCAGGGAATCCTACCAAGGCTTGGGCCATTGCCAGACTTCGAGATCTAGAGGATGGTTCGAGCTCCATTGTGAGTCGCCTCCAGACTTCAAATCCGTCCATGTTGTCGATGCTTCTCAACACCTGATTCTTCAAATAGCTACTCAAGACGGAATAAGGCTTCATTCCTCTTATCTTTCGTCCTTCGTTCGCTGCATAAAATTCATCGATGTCATCCTCGATGTCCAGTGCATCCGTTGATGCTTCGGCCTTCTTCAGATCTGCTAAGAATTCGTCGTCCATGAACGCTAGAAAGTTCTTAAAGGCGAAACTCCAGTCACTCCATTGAGAGACTTCTTCTTCTAGTGTTGCCGGGTTGAACACTTCTGGCGGCTTCAAGATCTTTCCTCCAGTGTCGAACGGGACACCTGAGGGTTGCGCCCTTGGCGCTCCTTCGCCTCCCAAACTTCTTGGGGAATTTCTTGCAGCTTGGGCCGCACCTGGCTGGCTGCTTCGGTAAGCCTTTGCATTGCTTCCGTTAGCTGCTGCTGTTGAGTCGCTGTTTGGCTCGCAACTCTTCCTAAAGCTTCTGTGGCCTGGCCAATGCCAGCCAACATTGCTTCAAAGTTTACTCTTTGCTGTTCTGCCATTGCTCTGACGATCTAGGCAAGTCGTCCAGACTCAAGGCTCTTTGCAGATTGTTCTTGACGAATCGTAACGCTCTGCTTCTTTGACTTCTTCTTGCAGATTGTTGTTGGCGAACCGTAACGCTCTGCTTCTTCTTGCAAGACGTTCTCGATAAATCTTAACTTCTTGCTTCTTCTCGAATTTCCTCCGGTGATAACGTCCACCGGAAAACGAACTTCTTCTTTCGCAGGGCGTAGTTGATTAACCTTAACTCCTGCTTCCCTTCTTTCTCCTTTCCAGCCCATTGGCTGGCTGCCAGCTCTTCGGCTGGGCTTACCTTCTTTCCCTGGATCTGCTTCTTCAGCTGCTGGCCGTTGCCAACAGCTCCGCTACCATAAAAGTTTAAAGGCTAAAATCAACCTTTCTAGAACCACAGGTTGTCGGCACTCTTTTCCTCTCACTCGCGACTTCCACGAGGGGTGTGTCTTGAGCCTATACACAGCGGTGTGAAACATGTCGTGTAGGAAATTGAACATCTTGTTAATTAACCAAGCACTCTAATGTTCATTCTTTTCTTTCTTAAAACACCAACAATCCGTGCCTTATTATGTATAATGTATACATTAATCCAACTTCGTTTGACTTTATATACACACTATTGTCTTTTTGATGACTTCAATGTCTGTAGTGCTCTCATCTAATCTTTGTTCAGGTATTATTTTGTTGCGGTTCCCTGACAGTTTGAACTATTTCAACTCTTCCAAAAACTGGCTTATCGGTTTTGAATACACCGGTCTCATGAGGGGACACATGCCGACCACCAAATTTTGAATTGCGCGTATCTTCAATTGGTGTAGTTATTTTTATCTTTCGCAATTTTTTCTTTCTTTATGACATGTCTGTCTCCTAAATCTACGAGGGATACAAGACACACCTGCAGCATTTATGAAAAGACCTTTCTCTTTGTCGATGTCATGATTGTTTAGGTTTTTTTGACACATACTAATTGCCTTCGCACAATCTCCAACGACAGGGCGCAACATCGTTTTAGTCGATTATCTGCTATTACCCCTTCTCTTTTTGCACAATGCCATCAATGGTTTCCATATAGGTTTCCATCATATAATCTCTAATTAGCAATAATGAGTGGAACAATCCCAAAAGTGGAACCAGTAGACATACCGGAAAATACATTTAAAACACTAAATGTGAAATGATGCCTAGCTTACCCGCTAGGATGCTACGCGTTGCCCCTTCAACTTGAGGAAAGACGGCGCTTACTCAAAATCTAATATGAAATACCTACTGAGGTTCATTTGAAAGAATATCTATACTTTCACACGGTGCTCATGTTGATGACAAGTGGAAGGCAGCTAAGAATACATCACTGATGTAACGAAGGTGGATACAGAAAAGGAACAAGTGTATTTTGAAGACTATGACCCAGTAGCATTGAAGAAGATAATCGAAGAAACGCAGCACAAAGTCATTGATTTTCAAAAGAAGAGCGAACAAAAGGATTCTTTTAGGATATAGCAGCGGTGGATGACCTCAGTCACAAGCCAAAAATTGCACTCCAACATTCTTCATGGTCTTTTCACCAGAGGTCGTCGTAACTCTAATAGCGTCATCTTATCCACTCCAAAATCAATGCGTTATAGCAAAAGTTTGCATGCAAAATATGTCCGATGAAATCTCGAATAAAAATTCCATGAAGCTGCAGAGCACTGTCTTTTTCCCAAAGTAGAGTCTGCGCAACATGTGCTCCAGCTCAAGAGCTGAAGAGCACGCCTCCCCCCCCAAACGCTCCAGCTCAAGAGGAGCTGCAGAGCGCGGGGGTCTGTGGGCTCATTTTCCTCAAACAGGGCAACAATCTGGGTCTCTAAATTTGCAAAACCCCGGCCAACCTTGAGACACCAGAGATCCAGGTTGTTTCCTGCCTTAAGAGGCTTTTTTTGGAGGCGAGCTTCTTTACCACATCAGCGGCGCAATAAGCGAATCGCCCTTGCCTTAAATGCGGGCCAGTCAATGTCGGGGTCGTTTTATCGGAAAACCCAAAGAGCATCTCTGACACGTTAGAGAAGCGCTCCAATTCCACACTGCCAGCTGGTATTCTGCACGAGGTAAGTAAGTTTCTTCAGCTGTAGGTGAGACGGCCATGACTACCGGAAGCAGCCAAACAGCACAGAACAACACACAACACACAAGAGAAAAGCAAAACGGAAGCAATCTAATCCTAAGGTGAAACATCCCTCTCTCAGAACACGAAGAGGTCGAAGTAGACCCGTTGTGGCTTGACTCGCGCTGTTGGAGGGAGCACATAGTGCGGTTCGCAAAACGCGGTCGGTCTGCCAGAAGCAAAATCACGTTCCATGCTAGTCAGGTTGTTCCCCTCGCCCGGGTCATTCATATGGTCATTCCCTGCAGGACCCGTTACTGCCAAGCATTTTGGTTGTCGCCTCGGTGTGAGGCACGCGACGCCGATACCGCTACTGAAGCTGGTCGGCGGGCTTTCCTGGGCGAGGTGTCGGACGCCACCTCACTCCGGGAAGGGCGATTGCTAGGGTGCGAGGTGTCGGACGCCACCTCCCCGGCAGAGAGTGTGGCGCAGTTGGGCTCATCGGAGCTCCCCAATTTCAGCCCCCCCCACAGGGGGGGGTCCCCGAAGGGATCGGGGTTTCATTCAGGTCCGCAAGCTTAGCTTTTGCCGCACGCCACAACGCCTTCGCGGCGTGGCTGACCTCCTGATATGTCACAACCTTGCCGTTGTCCAGGTTTACGACCGTCGGGTCGCAAAGCTTCTGGTTGAAATACAGCTTGGACCATGCGCCGTTGAAAGGGCTTTTATTCTTGTTCGCAGCGACAGCAAGGCCCTTGTGAGATGCCCAATGTGCCGTGACGGCATCGTACCACTCCCTCTTCCTTGGGGAGGAGCTTCGTGACCTGCGACTTACCCCGGGATGACGGTCCTGATCCGCAAGGGACGGCGTGTGTTTCAGGGAGCTTGCTGCCTGCTGCAGTGAAGGCGTGCG